GGCAAGTGAGATGGCTGATATTTGTCCTTGCCAGTGACACAACTGGAACCCCATCAACGGCCAGCCACAGTGGGGCCCCCCTTCTAACAAGTTTGTTTATTGAAGGCAGGCTTTGCTGATGATAATTATTTAATTAAAGATATCTTTACTTATAACCATACTGCTTTTTATTTTGGGAGGCCTCTACCTCTATGGTCCTTCTTGGCGTCTAGAAACGCCCCAAAATGGCTTGAATGTACTTGATAAGTGACCTTTTGGCTGGTAGCGGCCGTCTCAATGACTAAGAGGAAGCCGTGCCTCACATGCTCACACATGTTGAGTGAGTGCCTCCTGCGTGAACAGCTGACCCTCCTTCGGGGACCATGGAGCTGTTAATGCATTTACATTGTGCTCATGACAAATGAGGAATGACGCTGTGTATGTCGGGACCAGTCATCCACACGTGGTCAAAAACAACCGTCACGTGTCAAAATCCCAGAATTTGTGTCGATTGTTTTGGTGAATTATGCATTGAGCATTTGGGCTCTTAATTCTAGCTGTGCATTTGTGATGTCAGTGCTCCTCTTGTTGGAAACTATTGGAATTGCACTTCTGCGACTCTTCGCTGTGAAGGAAATAACGTGTACGACTAAAAAACGTTTGTCAGCAATGTATCATATCTGTTCATGAATGGTGCATGTTGGAAATTATTTTAGTTATCATTTTAGCATTTCTGCCGTACAGCTGAGGAGTTTGGGGTTCAAATCTCAATCACTTTTCAGGGTACTCAAACATGCTTTTACATCGGTTTTAATCAATGTTTCCCAACATTTATTGAACTCCTGTATATTAAAATCTCACTTTTGGTATATCATAAACACACGACTGTAGCTGAATAATTGCCAAGATAATTTTTGTCTCACAAAGTGCATGCCAGTGTATAATTGTACTATTGTAAATGGCTCAGGCTGTTTCGCGTTTTGTGGTTTGCTATCTCTTGAAATGTTGTCGTTTATGACACAAACAAACCAAAACAGTTCACATACGTATTAAAAATACTTTTATAAAAGCATCATTGGTAGAGCTAGCTGTATACTGGGAGACTGCAGCCAACACAAGTTTTCAGTTAGCAATTAAAACAAAGTTGATTTGATTGACCGATTCAGAATATACGAAGGTGAATAATTCAGTCAATCAATGCATGGAGAAGAGAGGTACCAAAATAGGCTTTATTTAAGAACATTGGCAAAACATGTTTTTTTTTTTGCATATAAACCCTTTAAAAACAAGGAGAAACAATTTTGGAGAATTTCACAGATTGTACAAAATCTCAACGAGAAGAAACAAAGAAATCATGTTGAGTGATTTTTACCCCTCATTTGCATGGTTATTTGCAGCCGCCGCAACAGCAAAGGGAGGAAGAGTGCGGCCATTCGGCGGTCACGTAAACATCAGCGCATCTCTCTCTCTCAACACAAGTACTGTAGTTGCTTTCTCTCGGCTCACGTCGACACTGCTGCACCACAGTGTGACTGACCACCACTATTGTTCAACCTGGCTAACTTGCATTTTCCTTAAACAAAGCCAAGAAGAAGAAAAAGTAAAACGAGCCCCTGCACAAGCACTATTAATTAACTGCATTTTACAAAAAAAAATTTAAAAAGAGGATGATAGTGTTATTACAAGTTTTATTTTGTTTGGCAAAGACGAGACACTGTGCAGTTTGTACACAACATCACAATGTGCTGACTTTCGAGTGGTTGTGTAACCTGTTACGCTTATTTTCCCGTGTCACAGTCCCACAACTTTTTTCTAATCCTACAATAGTAAACTTGAGCGCGACCCCAAGTTAACTTGAAAGGGATTTGCATTCAGATCCAGTACCACCATTAGGAAAAAGTCCTTGTGAGTATCTGACAAATTGTAATTTTCCTGAGATATCTCAATAAGCTCCAAACATAAAGCGTTGGCAGATATGAGCAGGCACAACTTTCATCATCAGCACCAGGCCACAACAAGACAAACCAGTACGGGCGCCCTGATCCGATATTGTTATCGCATATTGGTCCAATATCAGCCCAAAAAAAACAGTATCGGATTATATGGGACGCCCCAAGATACCAGCGGACCAAATAAGAACAGGAAGCTCTTCCGCTGCAACGTGGTTTGAGTTCTCATGAGTATTTTCAAGTCGATTTTCTTTTAGCAGCTGGCAAACGCCACAGTGCACTGTTTGACCCACACCCAAGAAATGCCCAACTAGACATTAAAGGAATTAAGAAATGACTCATCTGCCACTGACTGAACATCCCTCACAGAGAAAAAACAAACAAACAAATGGCCTCTTGTTTCTAATTTGTGTCACTTGCTGCATTCCAGTCTAGATAGGTCATGTCAACAATCATCATCTTTGCATACAAGGTTAGCCAGAAGCATTTAAAATAAAGTTAAACAAGCAAATTAGAGCGACTCCTTGCTGTCACCTTACAGGCAGATAAGCTTTCAGCAGGCTTTTCATTCTTATGCTGACTCCCCCCTCCCCCCAAAAAAGAAAAAAAAAATACAATTCCCTTTCATTACCTTCTTCCTTCTGCTTTTGAATCATCTCAAATCCTCCCAATCTCTCTTTGCTGTTTTAAGACTCAATGCAAATGGCACTTTTAAGATTTCAGCAAGTCCTGCTCGGGTGCCTAGGGGTGACTGTTTTCGGCTTTGAGTGGGCCGAGGTTTCCGTCCACAAACATGTTGGGGATGTCCTGACCGAAGTAGATCTTGCTATTGGTCGCTATGGCCTGGTACTTCATCAGCTCCAGGTACTCAGGGGTTAACTTCAGCTGCAAGACCGAGCATATGTGATTGTTAAGCCACATAACCAGAATTTCACTCGTGTACAAAGTTCAACTTGTGCTGACTGAAACATTGAAACCAGTGATGAATTCAACTAGAGCACACAACACAAAGAGGAACCGTGATAATCATGTGTTTCAATTATCTTATTGTACCATCATTAATGTCTTAAGACGGGCAGCACGTTGGACAACTATGTGTGTGTGTGTGTGTGTGTGTGTGTGTGTGTGTGTGTGTGTGTATACAATGACTTGTACCTGGTTTGCTTCAGCAAACTTGGCAGCTGTGTAGTATTCCGCATCTGCCTTAGCCTTTTCCCTGGCCAGAAAGGCGGCATCTGAATGAGACACATGACACGACAAGACACAGAAATATACTAAATATGCATCTCAAGAGAAGAACAACAAGTATTGTATGTGATGAAGCAAAGCAGCTGACCCTCGATTTCGGAGATCCTCTTCTCTGTCTCTTTCTCCATCACTTTCTGCTGAAACTGGATCTCGGCTACCTGAGCGACTTTTTGAGCTTCTACACACAACAAAGAAAAAACACAGCAGGCGGGTTTTGTGGTGAGCAGAATTGGAGAGTGTGCAAATTAAACCACCAGCAAAGAAACCCCAAACCGCATTTACCGATAATGGCTTTCTTCCTCTCAGTCTCCGCCTCCTTTTCCACCACCTTCTGGGTCTGAGCAGTAATTAGGAGACGGGTCTTCTCTGCTTCCCTACGCACGCACATAGATAAAAGAGAAATCGACAGATACTTCACATTTGTCGTCATGCTCTTGAACTTACTTGGTGGGTCATTGGTCGAGAAATGAATGATACAGAGCGACTTGAGGTCACACTCACATGAGTTCAAAGTTCCTCCTGATAGACTCTGGGATCTTTGGCTTGGTTACACGGACAGCCTGCATCCGGTTGAGTTTGAGTGGGAAGAAAGAAAAAGGCCTTTGAAACCGCCGCACATTAATTTTGTACATAATGTGGTAACTTAGAATTGTCACGTTAAAGGTTTAAGATCAGTATGAGGGACTAATATGGATCATGGACAAGTCTGATGGCACCTAATGTCACTAATGACCATCATGTTCAGAAAAAAAGAACCAGTGCTCTCGTGCTAGTCAGAGGAGACTTGAATCACATTCCTTTCTCTCATTAACAAATGTCGCTTCTGTGTTTTATGTGTCATTGCAGCTGCATTTTTTTTAAGTGCTCTATAAATAAAACTGAACAGAGTTTTTGCATGAGCGCAGTAACAAAACAACAGGTCTTCAAATGGTATTTAACTGTAACAGCCAACTGGCCAAATGACATTTGTACAAAAGGTACCTGTATGGTAAGTCCAGGGGCCATCACATTCAGATCTTTCTGCAAGGCAGTCTTCAGGTTTTCATCAATGATATCTATACAAGAAAAACACCACATTTTTTTATAAATTGCACATGACACGATAGCTCCCCGGTGATTTCAACATCCACGTAGGGACGAACCAAAGAGCTCTATGTAGACTTCCTGTAGTGTGTGCACACTGCAAAACTGGTTTAATTCATGGTGAATCTTGTTGAAAATGAGAGTTTTGTCATAGTCGGCCGTGTAGTTCCTCACTATGTCCACCACTAGAAACACAGCAGGAAGACAAATAATCAAACTATTGTGACGCCGGGCGGCGGACAACAGTTGCATGTGAAAAGAAAGGGAACTATTGCAATTGATTTTGAACATTTTGTACCTGCTGAGGAGACCAGCATGTTGACAACCTCGATTCTGTCAAAATAGATCATCACCCCGCCGCTGTCAAGGAGATACAAAATGTGTCAATATCTCTGAACAACAAAACGAGGACTGAGGTCACTTTGACAAGCAAACACATTATTGAAATACTTTTTATTTTATTCTCATACTTCTATCTATTCTAGCTATTCTTTTTTTTTTTTTTTTTAGACACATACAAGTTATGGAGGAAAAAGATGCAAAATAATAAAAATTCTGTCCTTTTGTACCTTGTTCCACAAGGTACATTCTTGATTTCATCAGTCTGAAGGGTAGTCTGAAACACACAAAAATGACAATTGCAGCTTAGATAACACAACAATTACAATATTTTTTTTTCCATTTTATGTTTAATGTAACATTAAGATGAGGAGACAACTTTTTGAACACGCAATTTATAGGTTCCTGTTACGTTTGTGTGTGTTGAAACGCAATGTTAACTCGAACTTCCTCGTTCTTGTGAAAATGATGCCAGAAGAGATTACCTGGACTGATCTGTAGGTGGTAATGAAAGGCAGCATGATATGATATCCGGGGCCATTGGGACTCGTCAGCAAAGCCCCACCCCTAAGAAGAGATTTAAAAAAAAAAAGAAAGAGACTTCTGGACTGATTTCGTAATAGCTGATTATCTGCTGATTACAGTGCAGGAGGATGGAGAAAGGGAAACAACCTGCAGGGCACAAAGTTATTAGCAAGTAAGGTCACACTGAATGTCTTACAATAGAAACTTTTCATCAGAACTTAATCCTATCTGTGACAGCAGTTTCTTTCCAAATAAATTTTTCGATTCGACTTCAACTACCATCATAAAACCTTTTTTTACTTGATTAAGTTTTAGGAAACATTTTATTTACCACTCAACTGTTGTATAAGTACCAAGAGAAAAATCAACCACCAACTTATGAAACTTAAACAAAGAAAAAACACTCACCAGCTCAAGACACCTGACTTACATGGAACAGAATGGCAAAAGGGAATAGTTTGTTGGCAAGCGATTCTGGCCAGCTCTGCGCTAACAACATTAGCATCTGCTTCGTAAAATCATTTCATAAGGGTGTAACCCACCTTCTCCCCACGGTCCGATAGGCTAAAGTCCAGTTTCCAGTCACCCTAATAGGGGCTAGTTCTTTACAAAAAGGATGGACAGGTAACATAAACTTTTTTTTTTTTAATTAAACCGCTGCCTGGTTTTTCTACTTTGGGCTTACTACTCTGCTGTATTTTATGTTTGATTCGGATCTAAAGATTCAGTGTTAACAATACCTGTAGTAGACAGCAAGGTGGCCTTCCTCTATTTTGTGAATGGAGGAATGTAGCAGGACAGCCGTCACCCCTGCTATTGCTGCAAACACAGCCCCGACATGCGGCATCATCCTCACTGGCTCTCACCTGCAGACAGACGTCCATTATTTAAACATTCTAAAATGTTTAAATAGGTATAGTAAACAGCATGGAGTTACTTTTCTGCCTTTTTATCGCAAGCAATTAAAACAAGTGCAGCCAAACAGGATTGATGTGAAATAAAAGTTATTTTGAATAATTTACCAAATGACATGAGCAAAATAAAATTGGCTGTTCATGTTTTTATTGCATCGACTGTAGTCCGTGTCTTTGCTTTCAACCTACTTGTTGGTCGTGCATATCAGTGTTTGATGGTTCGGCGCTATAATGTAATTGGTGATCCAATTCATCTTATGATGTATTTTTCATTGGCCATTTAGGTTGTCAACTGCAGTGATTCCCAATCCTGGTAGTATGCCAGGAGAGATCATCAGGTGTTAAGAGAGATCATTAGTTCACTTAATTGGTCCAAAATGTACAATTTTGGCTCTTTCTCTGTCTTTACCTCAATTCCTGCAAGTGTTTCAGCTTTAGTGTTCAGCTAAAAATACCTAAATTTCACATTGTGCGAGTACATTTTGCGGAGATTTTTCTAATGTCAACTGTGGCTTGGCTCAATAAATGTTGTGAAATGCTGATCTACTGCATGTCATTGATTTCTGTTGCACTGCATTTTATTTATGTACCGCGTGCTCTTATTTTGTTTTGCCTTTTGGGCATTCACTACAATGTTTCACACGTATGAAATAAGATGACACATCTCAAGGGGTTTATCCAAATGGAAAAAGGCACTAAATGTCACGCATTCCACATTATGTAACAACCCCATTGTTTCATGGTTCAGGGGTAACATCCAGCTATCCACATCAAATAGGAAAAAAAAGGCTCATTACATTTCAATAATTATAAATCAATTGTCTCGTTATTTGGGACTGCAGGTTGCACTAATTCCGTCGTTACAACAGTTTGATTTTTTTAAAATGCAAATAAATACACCCATATTAGTCATGACCACATCCACAGAATCCTTTCAATTTAAATACGTGAACCGCAACGTTGGAACATCCACACAACTGTCGCGACGGTTCATTTTACAGTGACAGGTGACAATTACTATGCAGCTAACAGGCATTAGCACACAGTTCGGCATGAAGACAGAATGAGTTCCGCTGAACTATCATCAACCAAAAGCATTCTTGTGACAATGAAGACACACTTAAAACGCAACAGACGCATAGCTGACAGCCAGACGACGTTTAATAGCCACAGTTAGCCGTGTAGCTATGGTTTACTACCGTGGGGGGGGGGGCGGATTGATAACGTCCGCTAGCCATATAGCGAGTCGTAACCCTGTTTTGGACGAAACCACCCTAAAACGCGTAACAAAGTGCGAATGCCGAGTTGAATAATAAGTTGTAGTAAAATGAAATTACCACTATCGCGAACAATCACCTCTTCTGGTGTGCATTCAAGGGCTCAACCGCCTCCCACAGATTTGGTTTTACTCGTTACAGTGCTGCATTCACGAACTATCGGAATTGTCAATAGCATCGATAAGGGAAAAGTCGTTCTCATACTTTTTACACCAAATTAACACCTAAAAATTGTCGCTATCATGGTATCACCATCACGGCAAACTTTCAAAAGCAGTACTTCAGAAGGCCAACATACTAATCGAAAGTGGAACATAAGTTTTATAAACATCGATAACATTAAAATGTATTTTACATGAAATAAATAATATTTGTACCTCAATAAACAAATATACGCAGAAAGAGAGAGACCACGTACCACACCTCATGTAATACAAGGGGCGGGGTGCCCATCAGGTATTTCGGGAAAATATGTTAATTTTTCCATCGACCGCGCCCTGTCGAAGATTATCTAGATTACCTTAGCCAACGTTTGTTTCGGGGAATGACGGCCCGTCGACCACAATTTCTCAACGCATGACAGATTAAGAGACAGACAACCGCATGTTAGATTCAGTGAAGACTCGAAACTGTCCATATTGGTTTTGAATATGATTGATGGATTTTATTCCAATGACATTATGTCCTGAAGTGCAGAAAATACATTTATTTCAAAATTTTAAAAATCAAGAAATATTTAAGATCATACATATCGAAGTGCTTTCCTAATCGTAACTGTAAATTCTGCGTAGAATACGCTGTGCAAGTGGATTTGGCACACAAAGCCTTTGAAGATATCGTTATATCACTTTCTTTGCAACACTTCACTCTGCTCAGTTTCACTATATAAATAAGATTTATCTTACAGGATGTGACACACAAACAAAAAACATAATTATAGCTCATATCATTGCTTTCAGACTTTAACATAAAGTCTGTGTTCAATACAGCATTCTGTGTAAGGACAAGATACCAAAAAAATAAAATAAAATCCTGGCAGCATACATGTTGTAAGGCACCGCTTATGTATGTTTGACTCATTGAGGTTTTGGTTGGCTACTCGAAGCCTTTTGGTTGGGTTTTGCTGCGCCACTTGGGATCCAACTCCAGTCTTGATCCTGAAGAGAGAACAACAAGACTAAATATGTCATTATGAGACAGGAAATGAATTGCTGCAATCTTGTTTGGAGAGTGGGAATTTTTCCATTGTGAGACTATTAAAGGTTTTCTTATCTTATCTTAAATTGGGGAAGTTGTTCCTTATAAATGATACATGATTCAAATCTTTTCACTAACGTTATATTTTAACACAGATGTGCAGGGTTTCGTAAATGGAGGACTTTAAAAGGTTTACTTATCTCAAAGCAGCTAAAATGCAGTGAACCGTGGGGTAAATGACACTTGAGTTTACTGAACTTAAATGAGAGAATTACAGGGGAAAACACGCCACCACGTGGCAGAAATGTGCACATTTCATTATTTATGATTTTATTTTATTTTTTTACATGCAGTGATTCCCAACCTGGGTGCTGTGGCACATTTGTGTGCCATGAGAGATCATCCGGGGTGCTGCGAGAAACTGATCCATTTCCACAAAATTTGTCCAATTGGTTCTTGGTTACAATGTCATTTTGCATTCCGGCAGTGGCCACATCAAGAACATGGAAAGGGTTGATAGTTCTACACCGTATTTGCATTCCATGTGATGCATTAGCAACTTATCAACAAAGTATCCATATTTACAAGCCACTCAAAAAAATACGCTGTCGCTGAAGGCGCATGGGCGGTGAGGTACTGGGGAAACATAGACGAAAGAGAATAACAGTGGTGATCACATTTGATTTAAATGTAATTATATTGAAAAATGTGTGCTGTGATTGAAATCATTCAGACACAGACACGGTTGATTTGTAACGTGTCAATGACGTGACACCTTTAATTGATGTATCTAAATGACGACATAGAGTAGTGTAAATCTCATTATACCAAAGCAGTGTCCCTCCTCGCTCCTCTTTTGTTCTCCTTGTCCTCAGTTAGAAGGAGCTCACGTAAACAGCGAGGATCACAAGACAGAGGATGTTGCAATTAAAAAAAAAAAAGATTTAGACACACACTTGCTCGACTCGTAACACTACTCTGAATAAATAATTTGACGGACTGCGCAGTGTCACGTGGGAGGACTTGCAATGCACGCAATAGGTTGGGTGTGCCTCTTGTGTTTGGACATTTCCAACAATAATCACCGGAAGAAACAAAAACAATCTGTATCACATACCGTTATACTTTGCTCCCTTTCCTGGCTGACATCCTGCAGCAAAGAAGTGAGCTTACTTAGATAATGCCAGTTTTCATCCAATAACTGAGAAACTGTTTCACTGAAAAAAAAAAAAAAACAGGATTGTTAATTTAACTTGAAAAAAATGTCTTGAGTTTGTACAAAATCATCATTTAGACTTATTTGGTAATACAAAGCTATCTAATCCAAACACATTACCTATCACTGGATGGCTGAACACAAATCTGTGAATCGCCCTGGGCCTTAAAACACAAACACACAAGGTTTCAACTACAGCATTACTAGTTCTCAGTCTTTCTTCAATCGCCTAAATATCATAGCTACTGACTATTATTTTTAGACACTTTGCTTATTACTATTACTCACACAGGCAATCTTAAGAAGGTACCAGAACTCTTTCTGCCGCTTTGTTTGCATCTGCATTACGGCTGCCTCTGCCGTTTTTATGCTCTCAACTGCCTTTTCCAGCTTTGGGAACAAATCAACGATGCGCTGCTTGCACACCAGAATTGTACTGCCAAGTGAGACACGTGTGGATTAAGTAGAATGATCAAACATTCGTGGTGCACTTTGCTTGGTTGTTCGTGAATGAATTACCTCAGGTGAGTGTACAAATCTTTCAGCACTCGATCTTGGTTCTGAACCATTTGTAGTATGGCCTTGACCATGCTCGAGCTGTCACTGTAACCATGTGGTGGGTCGGGGCCTGTACAAACAAACAAATATACTTTATTTTCACAAATAGTGGCTGAAGGCGGCATTTATTCATTCACCTTTCTAAACGATTACAGAGAATTAAGGGAAACACTCCTTAATTACAGTCGATGTCTAAATGTATACACATAATTATAATAATAAATGTGAAGATCTTCACTGACTTTTGCATTTCGCTTTTAGTTGCTTGTAGAGTTCGATAGCTTTTCCCTCACTGTGGAAAAGTACATGAAGTTAATGTGCATGGCACAGCACTGATATGATTGTTACATTATGCCAAATATACTGACAGCTGTTCCATTAAGTCTCCTTGTCTCCTCAAAAATGGACTACGCTGCAATTCCACAATTTCAGAATAAAGCGCAACTATCTCTTCATCCAGATATCCCACATCAGCGACCTGCAGCAGAAAATATTTGTTAAATGTGTGAAGTCTCAAACGGAAGTACAGAGTGTCTGCAATTATGACATTTTGTCCTATACCTTTGTAAAGCCATCGGCCATTGCTTCGTTTTCATGCCACGTCCTGAGCATCTTCTCTGAAGCTTCGCGGAAATATATAAAAGCAGACCATTTGTTTAGGTAATAATTTTAAAGACAGTGAATATAAAAAAAGTCTAAACACCCTTATTCAAGGTCGAGCTTTTTGTGATATGAAACAGTGCACATGCTCTTTTAACTTCGATGTTGCTGCTTTAAAAATGAAGCAATCAATTCCAATTCATGTTAAGTCAGGACACAACTGCCACCACTATTTAACGTGGCTCATATTAATCCCAAATTAAATTCAGCCATTCTAATAGACTTACAGTCACCTTTTTATTTGTACTTTCTAGCAGAAGTCTGAAGGGTTTGTGCTATCACCAACTGTTCATAATTACACTTCCAGATGAATTAAAAAAACTCCCCAAAATCCTAAAGATGCCACCACCATTCTTCACTGTAGGGATGGTGTTCTTTTGGTGATGAACAGCATTGTGTTTGCGTTAGATATATCTTTTGGAATTATGCTAATTTTTTTAAAAATCACAAAAACCTGGCATTTGTACACAGGTGTGTAGACTTTCTCGATCAACCGTATGAACACGGATCGATGCATGAATGGAATAGGACCAAAGGAGAGACACTCACAGATGCCTGTGTGTCTCTGCTTGGTGTATTGCTCCAAGTCATGCTGGATGCTGGTTTTGAAGAAAGCCAGCTTGGCTTGCAGCTGCTGCGACTGGGAGAAGAGTAGGTTCTTGTAGCGTGTTAAGTTGGTGTTGTAACGCAGCAGACTCAGCCTACGCACAAACAAAGGAATGTGTTTTAGGGGCAGGTACAGCTCCAGGGTGCCCTTTCCTCCGCAAAATGAAATAAAGTACATACAGAGGGATCGCTGTTAGTTTCACAAAATATTTCACGCATGATATCATACAAAATCGGAGCAAACCTCAGTGAATATCAGTCTGGGGTTACATTTTGGGTTTTTTTTTAACTTTTTTTTTTTGCAATAATTTTTTTTCTAAAAGGGCACTCTCATTCAAAGCAGTAACACTGGCAATGATAACAATGGTTAGGTTATTTTTAGACTTTTATACCAATAAAACTAAGCGAGAGGCATGAGCCACACCTTTGCACTTAAATTGCCAAGGTAAGACTATGCAAATAACATAACTCCCCGACCAGACCGTGTCAGTTCTCCGCCCCTGTGCCACCGGTGAAAAATGTCAGAGGTGGGGGAATTTCACTTTCAAAGTTTCCGAGCGCCATCAGCTGTTTTTGGAAAAAAACAGCGACTTAAAAATGATCCGTGAAGTCAGTAAAGGTTTTAAGATGGTGACAGCTTGACTCTGGAACAGATTCCTGTTCTTCCTATTTATTAATTGTTGTTGCCCCAACTGTTTACCACGATTCTGAAGGAGCAATCAAGGTGCAATTCCATAAATTGACTTACATAGCAGCCCTTTGTCCCTGGTACAGGCGAGTGTAGTCCTCTTTTAATCCACAAATGTAGCTGACCGCTTCCCCCCATACCTTCCTCAATGCAGCCAGCGGGAGCTGTGTCTTCGTCTCTCTGACTACGAAAACAAATATGTGTTCCCAGCACTTCAAAATGACTTATTTTTGATGGGAGTCAAGCCCTACATGAGCACATTCAATAATTTAATTTGAATTGAAGAAAGAGGCAAGAGGAAGATTTGGATCCTATTTTAAAGAGAAAAGTCTTACCTATAAAGTTGACACTGTCAGGCAGGGGTCTGGCAGTCAGGGGTCCTGAGTACTTAGATAGGCTCTTATCAAAAAGAAAGACGATAAAGGTGTCCCAGCCTCTCTGATAGAACACAACAACAAATATTAAGGCACACACTGCAGAGGTATTGCTTAGATATTGTCACCAGTTAGGAAAGAGTGGCTGCCAGAAAATCATTAAATGCAAATTAACTTCTGCGAAGGCGTCACGTACCAAACCATCTGGCAGACAGTGCGCAGGAGGTCTGCGCGGGTCGAGGGAGATTCCCGTCTCTAACAGTAGCTCTTGATTCAGAGGGGAGATGTGTGTTTGTGTGTGTGTCTCCAGACGAAGCTGCAAGGAGTGTAAGCTCTCTTCGGCCTCCAGGGTCAAAGAGTGCAGCTGAGCTGATGTCATATCCAAAACATGGATCACCTAAACACCAAATCTGGGAATTATTATTGTTATAAAGGCAAATTTATAACATCAAGATTGAGCAGGTGAATTTAAAGGTCGTTGCCGATGAATGTATAGGTAGCGCAGGAATCGATGTATAACTAAAAACATAAAAGTATGTGATAAATAGAGTGAAGCTGTACTTATTATTGACCTTCATGTTGAGAATATTCTGGAGAGTTCTGTAACAGTTTGCCTTATTCGTAACCGGATCCAACCCTCCGCCACGTGCTGCCGGGTCCCACAGTAACAACATCTGCAGCAAATTCTCGACTGGCGCCAGCAACGGCCTTAACACAAACACGTGCAAATATTTGAAATTAGCATCACATGAGGTAGTTGATTTACAGTGTAATCATTGTCGCTTATGTCTCTACCTGCTGAGGTTATTGGGATATGGAAGATGTGCTGAAAATCGAACTTCTCCATTCATGTCCTCCACTGCCATGATGTCTTTGGCACCTTTATTCTTAACTTGGCTTGTCCTATTACAAAGGCACAAATATTACACACACACACCAAACATTGTAAACATTCATCATGAGGTGTTTCGAGCTGAGGTCTTTCGCCATTTACAAAGTCACATTCAAACACTATTCTAGCACAGTCTAGATCAATTTTGACGACCGTTCATTATCGCACAAGAGGAAAAGAGTTTAGATTTGACAAGCACATTTTAGTTACATTCTAAAACTACTGACAACACAACTCCCAAACTCCACCAGAGAGAGAGAGAGAGAGAGAGAGAGAGAGAGAGAGAGAGAGAGAGAGAGAGAGAGAGAGAGAGAGAGAGAGAGAGAGAGAGAGAGAGAGAGAAAGAGAGTATAATTACAAAGCATTTGTCAAACTTACCACTGTACGGGCTGCATATGGTGTAGAAACGGGCGAAAGCCACAGGTGCACTCAAAAATCACTGTTCCGAAACTCCAATAGTCCACAGTTACCGTGTAAGGTTTACTCTCAAACAGCTCTGGAGCCTGGAATACATGACATAGCACTTTACGAAAGGTTTTGATTTAAAAAGAAAAAAAAATGTTACACAGCATAGTATCATACAATTTTTGCACTCACAAGATATTGGAGAGTTCCGACGAATGACGTACAGACACTGCCTTGGTCAAGATCTTTTGCGTAACCAAGATCTATAATTTTATGGACAAGCTGGAGGAAAATGAAAGTGAGAAATTGTAGTGTCCCAGTATAATACTATTAATTAGAAGATTACAGGGGGCACTTTGTAAACATGCAAGATTGTGGTTTACCTTGCCACTGATTTCTTGTAGAACTATATTCTCTGGCTTTAAGTCTCTGTGTATAATCTTATTTTCATGAAGGTACTCGATACCACATCCTGTCAAAAAAATTAAAACGTATGATACTGCGTCATCACATGAGGGCTTTTACAGCAAAAAAAAATAAAAAAATAAAAAAATGTCTTACCAATGTCACGGAGCAGGGCGAGCACTTCACTCTCCTTCAAACCACAACAATTTTCTGGTTTACTGAGAACCTAAACATATTTTAAGGAAATATACATATGCAGTGACAATTCAACGCTTAAAACCTTGATTAAAACACTTTATAACAGTTGATAAATACTTTGCGTAAGTCTCCTCCAGAGCAGTACTCCATAGCTAGCAGCGGAAGGTCATTCCGAGCAATCAAGCTCAATTCTTCTGGAACTTCACTGGCCTGAACAACATTCACGTGGTTCAACCTGAAGTGGATGAATACCACAGTCAAAATCAAGGTTTTTTCGTGCCGTACCGCAGTTGATTATCTGTATTCACTTCTTCATGATTTGGATCTCTCTGCCCCAGCGTTCCTTGTTCTTGGAGCTCAGTTCAAGACGGCAGATTTTCACAGCTAACTTCTCCCCCGACTTCTGCTCAACACATAAAAATAATAACATATCACTGACATGATCAGTGTGCTCAGATGAATAAATCTAATTAATTTTTAATCATAACACATGGTGGTTCCTTGAGATACAAATTTAATTTGTTCAGTGACCAATTGTAGGTTGAGTCACTTGTATCTCAAGGCACCACTGTATTATTACATGTAAGTTAAGCAAAATTGTTATTTCTGAAGTGTACATTGACCTGGTAGCCATTTAGGTACATTAATCAGTACCAAAATACTGCAGTAGCTCCCGGTTTCCAAAGTTTATGCGGCTAGGAAAACTGTAAGAATGATGGAATAATGGCTGGAATTCTGCCCAACTTCTCATCTCCCACAGCAACTTTACACCATCTCAGGTCAGGGTGTTTGTGATGCTCATTCATATTCTGTTGTGAAGTGCAACGTGGATCAGAGGACTTACATGATTCTGGTACAGGTAGACGTGCCCGAAGCCTCCCATCCCGAGTCTCTCCTTCATTTCCCACGGTCCACACAGCTGGTTCTGTTTGATTGAAACCCGCTCCATTGTCACCAGCTCTAGACACAGTAATTGTGCGTTGCAGGGTTAATCGTTTACAATTTTGACATGAGACAAATACTGTTTACAAGAAAAACAATAGCACCCTAATACTGTTGCACATTCTTTCAACAATGAAGTCACTAACTTGTTGGTGTCTAAAGTGTTTTGGGTGAGAATGATTTTTTTTTTACATTATGTATTTTGCTAGGCGCAGCTAAAACATACACTTATAAGCAAGTAGATACTACAAAACTGACTGCCAGTAAGCAAGAAGATAACATTATCTGTAGAAAGACTCCAACTCGCAAATACGGTACAAATTTGCTTACCTATCTAAGACGTCAGCTCAGGTTATGCCATGGTTTAATAGCTAAACAACGTTTTAACCGCGAACAAGTTATCAGCCTTCCAAGTTAGCTAACTATTAATGACGGTCCTTTAATGCCACTGTTTACGACTTAAAGTACCAAAACCGTCAGCTTCCCCAGGCGCTTGTCACTGGAGATATTTGTGGTTTATTTATTCTGTCGGTGAGGGTAAATGGATCCGAAATTGCGTTCCAAACAAAGTGAAAGTATGTCAACGCTGAAGAACATCTGCGCATGCGTGAGAAGGTCGCCTCAGAAGAAGGAGAAATTGAGGTTCGTCGTTGTAGCCTACAACGAGTTACTTACTTTGCTTGGATTAACTTTTTTATGCAAAAATGTCTTGCAGCCAATTTCCTTTTGTCATTGTTACCACCCCTGCTCCATGAATAGTCTCATTCAAACGGGTAAGGTTTTATATTTGGTCTGCAGATGGCGGCATATACTCACGTTAGTTACTTTATTTTGTTGGTGTATCTTTTGATTGACTTTAAACGCTTATTTTAAAGGACGCATCCATCCATCCATCCATCCATCCATATTCTGTACTGCATGGTACAGTATCATGGTGTACTTTACACACTCTATTCTTGTCTTGCTGAAATCATCAGTTTGGGAGGGTTTTGTGCCCTTTAAGAAAACTCTGAGATGCTACAAGATAGTGCCCAAGCCTCGTCGACAAACGAAACTAGTACCGAAGATCTAATGGAGTATTTTATGTAAAGGTTATACATTTTGATGGAAAGACAAGCTTTGTTTTTCGGCATTAGCTTCAGTCTGAGTAGTTACAGTGCATGTACAGTACTGTCATTGCACATTTGTTTTCTTAAAGCAGGCTGTATCTTTCCAGCAAGTGTGTAACACTGGGATGGATACCGCCTGCATTTATCATTTCTCAATGTACAGTAGCTCTGCTTCCCTTTTGGTTTTGACCAAGTTAGGGGTTAGGGTGTGAGGGTTAGGGTTAAGGTTAGGGGTTAGGAGTTAGGGTTAAGGGGTTCAGGGGTTCGGGTTAAATTTGGGTTTGGGTTAAATTAGGGTTGCGGTTTAGGGGTTAAGGTTAGTGTGTTTGGGTTAAGGTTACGGGTTCGGATCAGGGTGTTAGGTTTAGGGTTGGGGGATAGGGTTAGGGTTGGTTCACGGGTTCGTTTTAGGGTTAGGGGTTAGTGTTAGGGTTAGGGTTTCATCTTAGCTATATCGCAAAGAGAGTCTGAGGCCTCCAGGATGAGTAACGTCATGTGTGATCACGCCAAGGAAGGAATCATCTTGCATTTTAAAACAAAACAATAGGTTTGAGTGCATGTGACCTTGAAAAGACTGCCTGGTATGGAACAACTGAAAACAATAAGTAAATGAATGTTTTCATTCATGTTCCTGTTTGTGTTTCCCGCTTCCTGTCTTGCCCATTATTTGACTGTAGTAAGTACTGTCGTCATCCCTAATAAAGTGGTGATCAGGAAAGCGGAAATGTGACTAATGAAGCCATCATGCATGAGGTAATGTATTGGAGGGGGATTTCAAAGACAACATTGTCCCTCCTGAATATGAAACAGCTATTCTACAAACTAAATTTGATTCTTTTTCATTATTACATGATTGCAATTGATTTCATTGTACAACACTGTAAGATTTGCCTCATACTTTATTCATGTGCAAACTGAGGATCGTTTTTGTCAGTTTGTATGTGTGCAAACCATTTTGGGCTTGTGTTAATGACAAACAATTTAATCAAAACATGTTTCTATACATAATGTGGCATCTAATCTCTACAATTCCAACTAGTGATTTATGGTGCACACCTTTAAATTAAGAATTCAGTATTTAAGGTCAGTGTTTTATCAAAAAATTGAATGTACAATAAAGTCACATTGTGTTGGTGCGCTCATCTTTACGAAAGCGTGAGTGTCTGTTTTATTACCAAGTTTGGATATACGTACAGTACTTCTTCTATTCGACAGTGCTGATGTCACACATTATGAGCAATTCTTTGGTAAAGCCAAATGTGATGGTCAGCTGTTTCGTCTGACTGCTGTTTCGTGGGCCTCGCATTAAACTCCTCCTCCCACCTTCCACATTTATAAATTGGAGGGATGCACGGTAGCTCAGGACTCAAACAGCAAGAAACAAGACACGTGGAGGAAAAAAAGGACTTGAGAAAAATCATCTTCATCGGGCTCTTTTACACTCTCTTGCAACAAAAAGGTTTGAATCTCCGATCAAATTTCCCAGTCGATTCTGTAGACATAGCAATTCTTATTCTATGTTATGCAATTCTTTTTCTATGAATTCGTATCATTTTATCTTATAAGAAAGTTAAGAGAAAGTACCGTTCTGACCGTGCAATCGTGTATGTTAATTACTATTACACTGATACTGTGTTCTTTTAAGAGAAAATATTTTGATATTGCAAGCTTGTCTGATACTGCAATAAATGAGCATATGCCACTGACAGAAATGTGTCTACTGTGTGACTGGCGCACTTTATCACCTTGTCTTCATCGTCTTTCCCTAATAATCACTTGTCTGTCCTCTTGTGTCCCTTCAGATAATCCCCTTTTAAAAGCATTCAGTGTTGATAGCTTGTTTTCCTTTTTTTTTGTCATACCCAGACCAAAATATCACAAAAGCAGAAGTAAAGATGAACTTCTTAGTCATCTTGTCTTTCATTGCTGTTGTCAGTATTGAAGTGGTAAGTACATTTCACATGCAATATTTCATTTTATTCTTGACAATTGAGCCTACTGGCCATTGCTTTTTTTGGTCTTTTTTTTTAATGCATCAGTGAATCTTTCTCTTTTTCAGGTATTTTCAAAGAGGTGGCTTAAGTGGAGACCACGCCAGACACGCTCACATCGAGGTGAGCTGACTGTTCTTCACTTGTGTGTGTATTTTGGTTTTATTATGTGTGGATTCATTGATTTTTTTTTTGTTTGTTTTTTTACTGTTTTCAAAGATGATGGTCCAGAGGGCTGTTGGTCAGGGGATGGCAGCAGTTACAGGGGAATTATTTCCACAACAACAAGTGGGCATCGTTGTCTTCACTGGAACAGGTTCAAAAACCCCTGGGGCACCTCATCTGGAATCGGGAACCATAGATACTGCAGGTAGGCATCAATTGATACCGACAGATCCCAGGCTTCAGCTGCTACACTATTAATGTACAGTGAAACTTTTAATTTCAAACACACTGAGATTCCAAACAAATTCCCGTTTGAAAACTGTGGTGATTTTTTTCCGAGTGCACATGATAGGCATCATGAGAATTTGATCACCTTGATACATTTTAACTTCCATAAAAGTAAGTCAATGAAAAAGAAGAACATTCATAATGCCCGTTAATATTAAGGCCATTTTAATAACAAAACTACAACTGTACAATCGGGGCTACTAAGAGTTAATCAAATCTGGCTTGCTGAACTGAGCTCTTGTGAGGTATGCTGCGGCCTTGCGCACTGAGTATTTTTCATTTTGCTTCTCACTATTAATGATGGCCTTCTGATGGATTAGACTGAGGAAGAAACCAAAGAAAAAGCAAATCTGTTTTAAGAGCCTAAGGACGCATAATTTTCTGGAATTCCAAATTAGTCAACCCTAGTTGTGTTTCTTATATTTCACGTTATGATGAGTTAAACGTTTGAGTATCAAGGACATGACTTACCTGTCATTTTAAACTTCTAGGAATCCTGACCAAAGCCCGAAGCCATGGTGTCGCGTCAAAAGAGGGAAGAGAGTCGTGAGGGAATTCTGTGATGTTCCCAAATGTAAGAGATTGAAATCATAAAACTTTGTTCTCAGTTTAATTTGCACTTTCTAAGGTTCTCATCTTCCCCTCCAGGTTCCACAACAGTAAAGCCTCCTGTTGCTGTGGATACAGGTAATCTACTAGGGCACCACCTTGTTACAATAACATCCCTTGATGACGCACCGGCACTGATGAGTCCCTTCCTGACCGTCATTGCAGAACTGACGTGTGGTGAGACATCTGAGCAGAGGATGCACAAAATTGTGGGCGGTTCATTCATAACGGCGCAGTCGCAGCCGTGGGTTGCGGCCATTTTTCATCAGCGCCGCAGGTTCTTGTGCGGCGGCTCGCTTATTGCGCCATGCTGGGTGCTCACCGCAGCGCATTGCTTCTCTGACGGGTGAGGCCAAACACAAATAATGCGTGTTCACTTCCTCTGCTGCAATTCTCATTTTGATAAAAGCACTGACTCATTTTGAACCATGTGCGTGTGCGTTGGGTTCAGGGAACGGACCAATCTCCAGCGTTTGTCTGTGTTCCTGGGAAAGAGTGCCATCAATGAAACGGATGAGGTCAACGAGCAGAAATTCACTGTGGAAAAAATGATCCTCCACCAAGCATACAATAAGGCCAACTACAACAATGACATAGGTGAGCACAAGCAAGGCTTTGTGTAAAAAGCTATCTGTGCACTTGATGAAGAGTTTATATTTTGTCTTTTCAGCGCTGTTGAAGATCAAAAGCAGCGATGGGCGATGTGCTGTGCGATCGGAATCTGTTCGCACGGTTTGTCTTCCTCCAGCTCACACTCAACTTCCTGTTGGTTTTCAGTGCGTTATCGCAGGATTTGGGAGGGAGAAATCCGGTAGGTACAATATCCAACAAACACTCTGTAGACAAAAATATTGGGGAAACCTGGTATGTTTTTCTACTACAGTAATGGTAAAACTATATACTATTGATACAGTATCCCCTGTGTAGCTATAACAGCGACAAATTCACAAGCTTTGGTCAATAGGAAAAGAGGTGTGGCCTAACAATTTTATTTACTTCATAAACAAACAAAACAAAAAAAAACAAACAAAAAAAAAAGAAAACACTGATAAGAGCTGTGTGCTGTGATTTCAAACAAAACAAAACAAAAAAACCAAACAAAAAAAAAAAAGAAAAGAAAACACTGATAAGAGCTGTGTGCTGTGATTATTCCCCGATGGCAGTAATACCTAATACCTGTAAATTTCCCCAGTGTGGGACAAATAAAGGGTATATCTACCTAAGACCAGCTGCACACATCCAGCCATATCTGGCTAAACTCTTATTTTAACTGAAATAATTTCCAAAACCCATACATTTCAGATTTTAGAAATTTAGCACTGATTCCCGTGTCAAACAAGAAGATGAATTCCACACCAACATCTGTGATACGGTGATTGTACAGTGGATGAACTGTGAAATAGTCAGGGACACTGTCGATAACAATTGAGCATTTCTAACAAGATTTTAACAGATGTGTTTTCTGCAGGGGCGCTGCATTACTCTCAGTACTTGAAGGAGGCCCGTGTGAATCTTCTCTCCCAGTCTCAATGTAAAAAAAATTCTGCGTATGCAAATCTGCTCACTGAAAACATGTTCTGTGCGGCGGAACCCAGTTGGAGCATGGACTCCTGCCAGGTGAGCAAGCTCGTCCATTCCATGAATTTCAGCACATTGCACGCTTAATTTGGCTGTGTGAACATAAGCAACTACAGGAAATCAGTACAGTATTTCCAAACTGCAAAGGGATTTTAACTAGTGTTGTCCGACTGCATTGCGTTTAAGAATATTGATGACGCACAGGAAGATTTCTTGTGTTGGTTGAGTTTAATGGTCTCAATCGCAAAGCCTGACGAAAACAGCAGAAAACAATGTCCCCGTCAGTTATTGACACAGCGTACCCTTAGACAAATTATATGGCCAGGCAATGTATTAAAATACGAAAAGAAATATCAAAAGACAAAGGTGGAATTAATCCTTGAGTAACTAGGAGAACTGAAGTCTCATGAAATTTGCTGAAGCCTCACATGATTATGTTTTTGTGTGACCTTTGAGTCTTCTCAAGACGTCTTGAGTTGAACTTCTAAATGTTTCGGGCTTGACTTTTTGCCATACGCCCCTAGAGGGCGTACGACAACTGCTGAATCTGAGAGACATTATCTCAAAGGGGATGTAGCTCAGTGGTAGAGCGCATGCTTTGCATGTATGAGGCCCCGGGTTCAATCCCCGGCATCTCCAACTTTTCAGAATCGCCTTTATTGTCATTGTGTTGCATACAACGAAATTGGGGTGCCACTCCTTCGTGCATTTCGTAAAAAAATAAAATAATAGCGTCCTTACTGATGAAAATATGACTCAGTCCAGCCACCCATTTTTATATATTGCTTGTTCTCATCAGGGACATCAATACAAATGGAACTTTTAAGGTGTCATGTTTCGTACGACTCTTGTGTTGGATCATGGATGGCTGCACATGACTTCTCACATTGTGCAAGAGGCACTGATTGACGTGTGTCTTCTTCTCACAGGGAGACTCTGGTGGTCCACTAGTGTGTGAAGCCTCCGGACGGCTGTTTCAATTCGGAATTGTGAGCTGGGGGGATGGCTGCGCAAAGGAGAACAATCCGGGAGTTTACACTCAGCTCACCAATTACAACAAATGGATTGCAGAGAAAATAAAACTACCGCAGTATACAGTGGGTGTCATGTACCCCCCAAAGTGAAGGTGGAGAGACCCTTGTGCTAAAGTTAAATTCCTAAAGGAATATTTGGTAACAGAGGTGAAGGCTCTGGGTGCGGGGTGGTGGTACGTGCATTTTGTTGTTTGCCCCATGCATTTTGTTGTACACGGAGTGGCAGCTAACGGGAATTTACTGCACATTGACAGAGACAATCCTTCAAGGATTTACTGTCGTTTTTCTTAAGGAACGTTTTCATTTTATTTATTGTATTGAATGTACAATGGATTCATGTACTTTTATTTTTACATATGTAACAGATCTATTTTGTACAATTTAATGTACCATATTTATTTTCTGCTAAGGCTAAGCATATTCAAGAGAAAGTTTGTCCCTTAATATTTTTAATCGATTGAAATGTAAATACTTTATTACTGCTCTTTTCATATTGTGTAAAAGATAATGTGCTAATAAGTTGAGCGATCTACCCTACTGTAAGCTCACTGCAAAATAAATAAATACAAATAAAACAAAACTGTATCATCTGGTGGGGTAAAATTCACTCAGAACACCGGAGGGCGCTATTACGTGATGGAAGTAAACCTGCTGTCACTTACAAAAAAAGTGTCCACCAAGTCATGTGAGAAGATGAAGTACTTTTGTACTTTTGTTGGTCATCATTTATTCACTTTTAGAGTAAGTGATGTGCATCCAAGAAAATAATTGCAGTTTTATTCACCTGCCATGCATGTTTTTGGAATGTGGGAGAAAATCCACGCAGGCACGGGGAGAACATGCAAACTCCACACAGGAAGGCTGGAGCCGGAATCAAACTCTGCACCTCTGCACTGTGAGGCCAGCAAACCACTCGATCACCGTGTTGCCCGGAGATCCTTTAATTGAACCAAATGTATGAGCAATACCTTCAAATAATCAACCCTTGTAAAAAAAAAAAAAAAAAAAAAAACATGTTTTGTATCTTGAAGGGGGACTTTTTATGTGCAGTATAAACATGGTCATGTTATTTCTTTTTTAACTTCGAAACATTTCCAAGGAACTTCTAACAGGTCTTTTTTTGTTTGTAATAGCAAATACCAAGCCAAAATAGTTTACAACAGCACTGCTTGGGCCAATCACAACTGTAGCTTGTCCCCCTACACACACCTCAACTATACTCACATAAATCTGTTTACTTTATTACTGTGCCTCAAACCATACATGGCTTTGAGATGCAGTAGGAGTATGAGTCTCACTCCCCTGAAAGGACATTTCCAAGGAGAAGGTTAAGGATAGATCAGGGTCAAAGATTGGTTGCCTCGCAGCTGGAAGCTTTCAGGTTGGATCCCCCCGCTTCCCACCCAAGTTAATCCTGATGCTTCATCATCAGAGTGGGGATGAGACGGTTACTTCCCTTTCATGGAAGGGTATAGAGAGTACAGAAATTAAGATACCTGTACCACATTTTTTTTGAATATATATAACAAAACTGACACTATGTAAGTCAATTGAAATACAAACAAATGATAAGTTGTATTTAACGTTTTAAGCATTCTATCTTTAAGAACTGTTTTGTCTTTGAGCTTTTTCTTCAGGTACGCTTTGTATTAAGCTTTTATATGTCACATTTTAATTTGGACCTACATAGATACTGTTTTCTTGATTTCATGAATTCACGTGTTTTTTTTTTTTTTTCCTGAAGTACAAAACAAGCAATCGTGGATCAAAAACAATAATACCCATCAGTCAATAAGACCAAGGAGATCATTAACGGTCACACATTCATTTGACATTGTTTACATGTCATTGTTGCACTGCATCATACAAGAAGATGTCATATTTTAGGGACCTTACTGTTAGATGAGAAGAGCCCCTTGAAACCTCTCAGGCTGATGTCATTTTACTGCACTTTTTATCTTTACAATGGCAGCCGTTTTAAGAGCGCTTGTGATAGATGTGATTAGATTGAGTAGATAAATGCTGTCCATTCAAGAAGAACAGACGAGAGCCTCTTCAAACAGGTGAACCAGATTGTCTCATCTCTCCAGCCCAGATGACAATAGCCTCTTGTTCACACCCCCACACATTCACATACAGTATACACACATGCACAGCTACAGGCACTGTGGTAATGAATGTCTCCAGGGTATAAATATGGCTGTTTTTTGCATGCTACGTCTGTGGTTTCCTCAGCACACTTTGAGAGTGTCCCCATTACAGCAGCACATTCAGGAAGTCACTCATTCCTAATACCGGCAACTTTAATGCACCATTACACCTTCCTACAATGTACTGACATGCATTGATGCATGGAATTCAATGTGAGGTTCTAAAGATGTTTGTGGCCCATGAAGAGACTCTCTTCGTCTTTGGTTCGCAGCAAAATAAATTCCTGGTCTTAATATAGACTTGAACGGCTTCGAGATGTGGACTCCTGACCCAGCATTTGATGAACGTAGAAGATGTGTCAAATGTAATTTAATAGCTTTATAAAAGAGAAACTGCTGTTTGTTTCACAACGGTGAATCTCATCTCCAGTGGTCTCGATTCTGTGGATGGTCGCCACCTAAAATTGAATCAGGCGTTGGAGGAGGAAGGCATCTAAAACAGACTGCATAGGGGGTCTTGAGAACCGGACTTGGGCAGCCCTGGTCGAAACTGACTTGGGGAGAAGACGACCTACCTCTCATTGCAGTGCCACGTTCTTCCTGTTGGGGGCACTGCACTCAACGTCCTCATACAATGGAGGAATTCCCATCTCTTCTCATTAATTTTGCCCTTTCCTTTTTTGGGGGGTGGGGGCACACTGGCATTTATGCATGACGTAAGTTGGAAAGAGCCGTCACTTGCACGCGGTACTGTGCTCGTGCATGTGCGTGCAGCGTGAGCGCGCACCCGTACCGAGCCTCCTCCTCTGCACAGGCACGGAGCAAGCTGCGTCTTCGCCGTGATTGGGCGGAGGGCGGTGATTCCTTCTGGCACGACTAGGGTAGACCCACCGGAGGGACCCGAGTCCAGCTTTTAACCGTCAGAGCGGACGTGGGTGATGCTCCTCTCGCGAGTTAGGAGAGAATAAAAAGCAAGAAAGGAGGGTTTCTTTGCAAGGAAGCCACCGACCATCTTTGTGTGTGTGTGTGTTGGGGGCTGCGGTAAAAGTCGGTGACCATGCCGGTGTTTCACACCAAGACCATCGAGAGTATCCTGGAGCCGGTGGCCCAGCAGATCTCTCACCTGGTCATCATGCACGAAGAAGGCGAGGTGGACGGGAAAGCCATCCCGGACCTGTCCCTACCGGTGCAGGCGGTGCAGGCTGCAGTCAGCAACCTTGTGCGGGTGAGTCGATGTGAGTTTTATTCTACCAGTTTGCTTTCTTGCCATTCATCATGCCAACGTCAGTTCGTGTGACAGAATCGATGCCAGACAAGACACATTTTGAGTAAAGAGAAAATTTTATGGTGTTTGATCTTTGCACACCATTAAAATGGTGTAAAAGTGACGCACACAAACGCAACATGACATGTTCAACTTTGCCCTTGCCGCTAATCAGATGGACCCTCTGCGCTCAATGGAGTTTGTGGAGCGGAAGATTGATTTTGACACACACACACACATTGGTCATCTTTAATTTAAACTGATATTACACAGTGGGTCACTTTGTCTGTGCACTGACTGGCAAAATCAATACGAGCCCTGCAGTCAAGCGACAACGCTCCAGAGACACAGACATCAGTCATATGGTTTCACTTTGGCCTATTATGGGACATATTGGATCAGAATCAAATTGGTACAACTCATACGGTGCCAGTGACAGCCTGAATATTGTTACTTAACTACTCACCGTTGAAATGAAAAAAAAAAAAAAGAGTCAAATAATGCACTATAAAAAAGTGACAAAACATCCTGGATCCCCTTTATCTTTGTCCAGCTCTGCACCAAAATTTCATGGCAATGTTAACAAACCCTAATTGATGTTTTATTGAAGATAGAAAGAAAAAAAATGAAGCAAATTGCACTGTAGTACATCTTCCAATTGATTGGACACATCCTACAAGCACATTTGATCAAACCACCTATTTTATGTAGCGCTTGTCCTCATTTGGTTTACGGGTGAGCTGGAGCCTACCCCAGTTGACCTTTTCAGTGAAATGAGTTCCACCCTGGACTGGTCACCAGTCAATTTCATGGCACATTTAGACAAACACCCCGTCACACTTATTTTTCAGAGTTCGTAATGAACTGAACATGCTTGCTTTTGAACTTGAGGGGAAGACAGGATTCTCAAAGAAAACCCGCACAAGCATGGGGAGAACATACAGAATCAAACCCCAAACCTTGGACTGTTTTGAAATAATCACTGGGCACATATAGGCAAACAACTAATCACACTCCAAATGTATAATTTTGACATTTGTTCAGTTGTTAGATTTTATTTGTTCATGTCCTTCAGACAACATTATAAAAACAGAAATGTGCATTGATAGGAAAAAGGTTCCCCACCCCTGATCTAATAAATAACATATAGTTGTAAATTAGAGTCCATGATGTCCGAATATTGTATCTCTGTTTCTCTGCTTGTCTAAATCACTTCAGTACATTCATCCAGACAGCAAGCAATGGGTGGCTAATAGCAGCCCCCGGCATGCCTATGTGTCCCTGATGCATTTGGTGAGAAGCTAAAGACCAGATAGAGAAAGCTGCTCTTATCGGATGTAATTAAGGATTTAAAAATTGGGGGCTCATTTTCATCTCCGGATGACGCCTGCTAATTGTGCAGCAATGCTGCTGAATAGGAGACAAGTACCGGTAGTTGGTAATGGATGAGAAAGACAGAAGGAAGTGTTGAGCAAGAGCACGCAGCCTGCTGGTTGCCGGGCAGAAAAACTTAATTGGACATGATGGAGGCCCTTTTTGTGAGCGTTATTTTAGCAATCACAGTCAGTTGATGCAAAGATGTAAAAGAGTAGAGTCCCTCTGCACACTGATACAGTTACACTGTTAACCCCCAGCATGGTGGGCCATGGATAGAGAAAGTAGGTCACTAAGATTCTTCCAGACGCAAACAAGATGGTGTCAATCTGTCAGAGAGGCTGCACGTGTGTGGGCTGACGATTCAACTAAACATCTAAAAGCTGCATTTGTTTGGAAACACGTGAGCTCACTGGAGTTTTGCAGATGACGGAGCCGCTCTTGGAAGTTCGAGCTCCCCAAGGAGGCGATGTCGATCTCAATGCCGAGTATGTCTGCGGGGAGGGGGAGAGAGGAATAAATAGATTTACTGTTGAGAAGTGAGCAGAAGAGTCACCTGCTTCTGTTTGGGATGTAATTCATTGGATGAGCCTGGATTACCTTTCTTACTTTGCCCTCCTTAATCTATTCTGAAATGCCACGCAATAGTTGTGTATTCATTAGAGCCGGGACTCCAATTTGGTATTTTCACTTAATTAATCACAGAGGGAAAAAAAAAAACAGTAAATCATTTTTTTCTATTTATGCACTCCATGCGACATGACTTCAGTGCCCTAATTCCTGGCACACCCACAACTCCGATGCAAAAGCATCAAAGGTAGTAAAGATTATTTTACAACCGCCTGATTTTACAACCCGCTCTATCACTGAAGCCCTTAAACGACTGAATCACCCAAATGCAAAACATGATGAAGTGCTAAGTGATCGTACTATTAAAGCTAGTTTGTCTCAGTAAGTGGCCAAAAGAGAAAAATTGTATTTTGTCCCCACAGTGGTCTTGTATAGTTGAAGCAGAATTGAACCAACTAAACTCATGTTAGCACTGCATTTAGCATTAGCATCCCTAATGCACAGACAGCGCAAATGCTTTCTTTTTTATTTGATTTGACAGTCAGGAAGAATTTGAAAGCGACACCTAAACAATTTTAAGTGGAACCGCAACAACTGTTGTTGTAAGTTTGCTTTTCCTAAAAAAAAAAAAAAAAAAAAATTGTCTGCCAGACTACTTTTAGGGAAATTCAAACAATCATCACTCTAAATATGATTATCAGTATAAACCTGCTCTGGAGAGAAATTTTCCAGTTTAAATTTGTCTTCATTTTGGCCAGCTGCACACCTTTCCAACACATACATGGAATGTCACTGTGTGGACACTTAACTGCAGGGCCACTTAACTGCACATTAACTATGCAGCGATTGTGCGTTGAATAATCGATGCTAAGTGATGCCAATTACAGGAAGCGCTTGCACTCAAGCAGGTTCTTTGTCTGATGTTTCATCAGGACACGCTTGCTATACTCGCAGAGCTTCATTCCTGCAAGTCTCAAGGAATCTTTTGCATTAAGATTGGATGCCAGACGTTGCTCGGGGTTGCTTCTCGCTAAGAATACATCTTCCTGTGACTTTCTCGGGGCCACAAAGTCTATTAAGTGAAGTTCACCAATGAATCACTGAGAGACCGGTGTCATCATTTTCCTGAAATTGCATCTCCAGTGTGTGTGCGTGGCCACGTTTGCGCATTTGTGTTTGTGTGTAGGTCGTGCGCATGTCTGGGTCCTCTGCCAGCCGTCTGCATCTCTGTTGATAAGAACATCCGCAAGGGAAGTTCGAGTTCACCGTGCTGTTTTATTATACGGTGGCAGTGAACTCAACCACACTCACTTCACGATAGTTTAGCAGATACTAAACAATTCTTCAAAACAAGAGTCTTCAAGTTGTTTATATTACACCTCCCAGTTTGAAATTTACTGTCAAACTAAACGTGAAATAAAGAGAATGGCACATCGTGTATTTAAAACAACCAAATTACATTGCCTCAAGAATGTTTAATGCTAACACATAATGGAAAATGCCAGGAGGGGCCAACACTTAACACTGATGGTTGTGACGTTATAACCATTCAAGCAACAGTTAACACAAATGGATGACAAACACATGTAGACAGACAATGTAGACAAACACTAGCAAGCATATATTCTTTATCCTCTGCGAAAACAAACCCGACTCCCTTCAGTAATGCAGTGGTTGTGTGTTTCACATTCTATCTAATCCATCTCTGTGGATTTATTTGTTATTAATAAAGCACAATGTTATAGTACGCTACTTTTCCTACTAAACAAAAACAACAAATTCCAGTTTGGGGTTTTTTGGACGCGGGTAGAGGCTAGATGGTATTTCTGTTCTTTCAATGGGTAAAGATGCTTTTAGATGCGAGTGTTTTGAGTTATGAGCATCACCATAGACCAGATTATACTCTTGTCTCAAAACACCATTGTCCCCGGCCTGGCATAAGTTTTAGCTCACCTAATTAGGACAAGTGATAAAGAAGATGGATGGATAGAAGAAACCACAACAGCGTGCATCTTTATTCAGATCTACACCAAAATATGACAGTTCCTCACCATATCTTCACTCAAATAGTTCGTGTGGATGTTTTATAACATCGTAACATAAAATAGTTTCTGTTTTCGAGGCAGTTAACGACACAAACCTTTAATCGTCCGTTTATGCATTGCAGGTTGGGAAGGAAACAGTTCAAACCACCGAGGACCAGGTGATGAAGAGAGACATGCCCCCCGCGTTCATCAAGTAAGCGTGTTTACCGCTGACTCTGCTCCTGTGGAATGAATCCACTTTATCACTGAGCGACAGAGAACTTGTTTTGAAAAATAACGGAAGAGAATTCCGAGCAGTTTAATGTTTGGAAATATGGCACCGTGCCTCAGCTGCAACACAAAGAGCCACTTCTGAACCGATTGCTCAGTCAGAAGCGACCCACGGATGACTTGTCCGCCATCAAGCATTCATCCGGCTGAGAGGCTGTTTGTTGTGTCCCAGCATGCTTCCAAAGGTCTGATAGGGTGGCCGAAAGCGCCGACTCAGCAATGCTGCACCTCTCTGACATCAGGCTGCTTTGACTTGAGTTGTTCTGTAGTGACAGAATTATGGAGCTCAATGAATGAAGTGCGGCGACATAACATTGGTTTAAGATAATGACTTATCAGCTGCCTTTGTCGATCTGCAGTTTTAAAAGCAGATTCCAGATCTTAAACGGATATAGATCTGCAAAGTGCACTCCCCCCGCCCCTCCCACACACACATTCATGGATACACATTCAGTGTATATACACATCGTAAATCTCACCCACCAGGCTAGGAGGGGGGGGAAATGTGTAATGTGAACCTGACTAAATATAGATGAAGTAGCAGCCATCGATACCCTGACCAGCGGGGGTCAGAAGAAGAAGGACGTGCCTTTGGCTTCTTTCATGCGCTTAAATTCGTCACCTTATTCAACCTAAAAAAACATATAACATCTAAACATTGCTATACATTCCCGTGCCTTATGTTTGCTCAATAAACCCCTTTTTTTTTTGGTTTTGTTTAAAATATAACAGAAAACAAGAAATACGTGTTCTGGATGTGTGCAGGGTGGAGAACTCGTCTTCTAAACTGGTCCAAGCGGCTCAGATGCTGAAGACGGACCCCTACTCGGTCCCTGCTCGAGATTACCTCATCGACGGATCCAGAGGGATTTTGTCAGGCACATCTGACCTGCTGCTTACGTTCGATGAGGCCGAGGTGTGTACATGTTCGTCTGCTTGGGGATATCTTTCAGGGAAAGAAAGCTTTTTATAGCGGCGCACGGGAGGAGGAACTGAGCTCAGAGCTTCAAGCAGCTCACTAATGGGAGTCACAGTTAGATTTAATCAGTCAGATCAAATGACTTAGCTCTATCATGATGCAGAATCGTGCATGTGTGTGTGCGCGTGTGTGTGTGTGTGTGTGTGTGTGTGTGTGTGTGTGTGTGTGTGTGTGTGTGTGTGTGTGTGTGTGTGTGTGTGTGTGGCCACTTGAGGAAGAGCAATAAGAGGCTCTAATACTCCTAGTCTGTTCGTCTGTGATGCTACTCTCTGCATCTGTGTTGTGTTCCAGGTGCGTAAGATTATCCGCGTGTGCAAAGGTATTCTGGAGTATCTGACAGTATCTGAAGTGGTGGAGACTATGGAGGACCTCGTCACGTACACTAAAAACCTGGGACCAGGTCAGCGAGAACTGTTCCGGAACACTTTGCAATAAAAAAACAGAATCGCAACATCTGAAAAAGAATAAAGCGATAATGTCCGTCAAGGCTCAATTATAATAATTTGGATCAGTACACAATTGTACACATTCATGCTTAGCTCTTGGAAATACAATAAATTGACCCTTTAAAGGGCACTTATGAATTTTTTAAAACAGTTCCCACGTGTCTGAATAAAAGGTCTCTGACATTTTCCCATCAAAATACACAAACAATAAAATAATTACAGCATTCTATAGTTTCTTTTTATCAATGTCTAAAGGTCTATTTGCTATTACACCATATTAAGTAATTATTCTAGAATGTTGCAAGAAATATATAGAAGGGCATCATAAAGTACCAGGGGGCAAAAAACACGTTTTAAGGTTTTGTGTTAGGATATGAAAAGATTGCTGAAGTAAATAAGCAGAAAAGGAGTTCAGCATGCAAACAAATTTAGACTTGCTGTAAGCCAATCGTCACTGTGAGTTTTACAGAAGTAATTTGGATGAAGTGACACAAAACCTACACAAATACCGGTAAAGCACAAACAGTTTCCAAGAAAGTGTTCACCTCTCTGATCATTTTGGATCATATCATCCTCATCTTTAAAATTCTTCTTGTGAACTCGGATAAAAATGTTAAATCGGTTAAGTTGCGTGCATTGGTTGTCTGAAATATGATAGTGAGACCAGTGGTTTGCAAAGCCCTTATTTGCTGTCTTGCTGCCTGTGACCAAATTACTCAGTTGTTTAGTAACTGGTCGCCTATGCTCAGGGATGACCAAGATGTCAAAGATGATAGAGGAGAGACAACAGGAGCTGACACACCAGGAGCACAGACAGATGCTCGTCAACTCCATGAGCACGGTCAAAGAGCTGCTGCCCGTCCTGATATCAGGTGAGTGTATGCGTCCATGCGTGCGTGGACCGACGGCGCCACAAAAAGCCAAGGAGAGCAGGTCACTGAGCATGCGGCGTAGTTGTTATAGCAACGCTGTTCATGACAGTCATTAGTTGCGTTGTACACTAAGATTGACAACAGGCACATGCGCCAGCTGCTGCCTGTTGTCCTGGATCGACTAACAAGAGCTGGGCAAGACTCTATATGATGTAGACAGAAGTATTGGAACACCAAGGTCGTTACTCCTGCGAACAGGACGTGAAATTGAGGGAAAGCAGACTTACGGTGATAACAGTTTCCAGTCTGGTGTGATGAAATAAACTGCCAAATTGTAAAAGAACTGATAAAAATTAGCTTCACTATGTCATGCAGTTCATGATCTCCTTCGGTTGCATTTTTGATTCTTTTCATTTGGAATTTTCACTTATGGCTTACTTCACATATGCGTGGTTGCATTTTCATTTTTTTAAGCATTTGTAAGCTCACTTGGTCATATCAATTTCGGTGTCATATCAAAATAATACATCGGGTAAAAAAAAAAAAAATCATAATTTTGTAATCTAAAAACAGTCAATTCTTGATCTCAAACACGAGAGTGCACAAAGAAATGGAATACACAAGATGAAGACAAAAAAAGAAAACCTGTGCGTACATTAAACATTTGTGAATCTTTCTGTAACTGGGGTGGGAGTGCCCTTTACCCCTTCATGAATTCTCTACCCCCCCCTTCAGCCTTCAACATGCATGCTACTGTTACTTTATTTATTTCTTTTGAATCCAGAATGAATTTAAATTAACCGCGACGCATGTTTGGCCCATTTTAAGTGAAAATATTCCCTCATTTCCGACAACGTTCCCAATAATTACGTCTCGTCTTTCCATGCTCAGCGATAAAAATTTTCGTGGCAACCAAGAGCGGGCGCGGCGCCGGCTTGGAGGAGGCCGAGAGGAACCGCCGCTTTACCTTTGAGAAGATGAGCGGCGAGATCACTGAGATCATCAGAGTCTTACAGCTCACCACGTGGGACGAAGACGCCTGGGCCAACAAGGTACCCCTCAGCTGACTATGCGGATTCTCATTTTAAACCCTCTCAAGTTAATCCCCAGACACTTATTTAATTGCGGTTTTGGTGTGGAAGGCCTGTTCACACACACACACATACACACGCACACGCGCACACACACAAGCCTCTTTGCTGCAGAGGGCATCTTTTTACCTTCTGTGATTCACTTTTTCTTTTTGCTTGCTGGTGTAACCCCTTCTCCTTTTTCTTTCTGTACCTTCCTCCTCCATTATTTTCCCTCCTTATAGAAGGTAAGCCTGTTTCTCTCCCCATCTGCAGCCTCCAGTGCACGTGTGTGTGCCACTTGGTTCAACGCATTTGGGCGTAAAATGCTATGCTGATACTGAACAGCCTTGTTTGTCCCGTGTTTTAGTCAGCTGATGTGATGATGTTCTGTATATCTGTAACTCATCACGACGTGTATTGTTTTATGTGCATCTGTGTGTGTGATTTGAGCAAAGGTGACAAGAGTACCTACACTCTGTCTTCAAGTACTGATTCAACTCCCGTATTGGCCCGAATATAAGACGGCCCTGATTATAAGACGACCCCCTCTTTTTCAAGATTTAAGTTTGAAAAAAATACTTTTTGAACACCAAATTAATTAAATTAATTAATTAATTAAACAGCTGGCGGTTAACTTGGCCGATCTTCGACCCACTTTTCTCCAAATTGTCGCTACGTTTCTCCATTTTCTGTTATCTCTTCTATTATTTACTTCTCTTTTCTTTCTTACCGCTATTTTTAATTTTTCTTCTTCGTGCTACCACTATTTTTATTTTTATTCTTCGTGACAGGGGTTCACTTTGGCCTGGGGAGTCAAGTTCAGCATTCGCTTCAATGATATCTGGCGCTATCTAGCGTCGTGAATGGGTATAATGTCTAGACCCCGAATATAAGTCGACCCACACTTTTTCAGTCTTATTTCAATGCAAAAAAACATCGTCTTATATTCTGGCCAACACGTTAATTTCAGACTTTTGAAAAAAACAAAAAAAAGCCTGTTTTGACAAAGTAAAAATTAGAACGTACCGATATTTGATATCATTGTGTACTGCGTAGAAGTAGAAAGTTGTCAACAATCAATACTCAAGTGAAGATACTTGAAAAGCCTACTTAAATATCGTAGCCACGTATTTGTTGACACAATTTAATGATGTATACATGTAAGGTAACCTCAGTTACTGTATTTTCTCTACAGCTTATGCCATATTGTGTTACACAACATGTTTTTAAAACCACTTCACTCAGAAATGATTCAGATGCTTTTTTTCCCTTTCGTTCTATTTTTTTTTTAGAACATCATAGATGATAAGATCAATTTCCCTCGTCCAACTTGTCACTCTGCATGTTTCAACACACATAACCGGTCCACACAAATGATTTGTCTTTGTGTGTCTGAATGGTTGATGTGCGCATATTGTGGCCAGTCCCAGTCATCATGAGGGGCAAGTGCTGCCCTCGCTCTCAGGGTCATGAATTATATAAAATAAGCTGGTCCAGATCCATTTATGATACATGACCTACTGAACGGTTCCACTCAAGTGTTTAATCATCCTCTGAGCTGGAAGATAAATGTTTTTCTCTATTATTTGGTGAAATATAAGGCGCGTCTTTATACGATTTTGAGTTAATATTTACCTAACTAAAGTTTTGTGATAACATAACCGCATGTTTGATGGCATGCAATGATTTAATGACTGCTGTGACTATGCGCTGTATAGTAATCATAATTAGAACATTTTCGGTGACCTATAAATTGTGGTTGAGGACAGTGATCGATGAAAAGATCAATTTTGTGCAATAAATTATTTTGTAAAGCAAGTGAGGTTAACTGGAGTTTACTGTTAAGGCGGAGCTAGCATAGCATTTGTTGGCTCATTATAAACTTAGCTGCTGTTTTACATTTTCTATTTTATTTGACTGGGGCCAACCTTGTTCAGAAATGCCCGCAAAAATTCTGCTACTGCGTAATGACTGCAGAGGAGGAAGAAGGTCATGCTCTATTCTTATTTGTAAATATGACTTCTTGGGCACCAATGTGGTTGAGGTTATTCACAAAAATGATTCACCAACAACTAAAAACAGCCTTGGATTTAAAACAGTAGTTGTGTAAGGTTTGCTTTTAAAAAAAAAATTATTTCAGAAAATTGCCGTTTCCTACCCACATATTTTTAAAAATGAGTAAAACATTGCTGTCCAAAAAAAAGTGTGCACAGTCTGAAAACATTTTTCCATTTAATCAGAAAGCAAGAACATACTGACATGAAATCTTTGTTTCTATCAAAGTCCTTGATTGTGATTATACATAAGGCACTTTATTTATTTATTTAGTTAGTTATGTATTTGCTGTTTTTCCTCATGATGACCACATTTCAATTTTAATAATGAATATTTATTTTGACATTTTAATAATTTCTTAGGATATGGAAGCACTGAAGAGATCTTTGGCCTTGATTGAATCGAAGATGATCCAAGCGAAAAGTTGGCTGAAAGACCCGTACGGACAACCAGGTTTGAATCCGAAGGTTTTCTGATGGTCTCTGCTTTTTATTGACATGAAAGAGCAATGTTTTGGCATGTCGCTCTCACCAGGAGAACCGGGTGAGGTCGCATTGCGAGTGATTCTGGACGAGGCGGGAAAGGTGGGAGAGCTTTGTGCTGGGAAGGAAAGGAAGGATATCTTGGCGACACACAAGGCTTTGGGACAAATGACCGACCAGATTGCAGATCTTCGAGTCAGGTATCGCATGCAGTGATAGAAAGTAACACAGTACAAGTACTTTGTTACTATACTTTGCGCAAGCATTTCCAGTTTGTTTATGATGACTTTTTACTTTCACTACCTGCATCTGAAAACAGATATCTGTACTTTGTACTGCTTTTTTTTTTTTTTTTTTTCAAAATAGACTTGCTATCTTTTTAATTCTTTGTAGATGGTGACAAAATTTCCAAAAAGCATAAATCAACAGATGTTAAGTTAAAAAAAAATGTTTGCGTCAAGACGAGCATCTGGCAAAACTGTACATGTTCAAGTCTGTACTTTTCTACTTTTACTTAAGTACAAGACTTGAAACAGTAGCTCTACTTTTTTTTTTTTTTTTGCATTAGTATCTCTACTTTTAGGTGTGGAGTGTGACTGCTGTTGTCACCACTGGAAAAATATACATTTATTGACATTTATGTCTTCATTCCTTTGTGTTTATTTGTGGCAGAGGCCAGGGTCCGAGCCAGGCGTGTGTGCAGCGTGCAAGTCAATGCTCTCAGGGCTTAGACTTGTTATTGGGCAAAGTGGAAAATGCTGCTCGCAGACTGGAGGCTCTTATCAATGCCAAGCAAGCCATCGCTAGGAGACTGGATGCTGCCCAGGTCTCATGAGGCACCGCAACATTGACATTTTTGCACTTTTAACACTCTCAAGATGGCATTTACAAAATATCCCAATTTTATTTCATTGAGGCCTGGTTGGCTGACCCGAATGGCGGTCTGGAGGGCGAAGAGAACATCAGGGCGCTACTCGCAGAGGCCAAACGCATTGCCGACCTGTGTGAAGACCCCAAAGACAGGGACGACATTCTGCGTTCCATCAGTGAGATTGCAGGCCTCACCTCCAGACTTGTTGAGCTTCGCAAACAGTATGTTTACTTACCGGTATTTTATTTTCCCTCCTCTGACACTCCCAACTAGACTGTATTTTTATCTAATTCTAAGACCCTTCATTCCCAGGGTCAGAGCGCAGACTTGTGTCACCAATACCTGGCACATTTTCCCTGCATGGAGGTTATGTTGTTGCCTCTCAACTTTAGGCACCCGTCCTGCAATAAGGTTGCTAAAATGTTTGAATATGAAGCGGTAATGGGGTTAATTATTTAGATGGTTTAACAAAAAAAACAAAAGGAAATTGAGTGCAGAAATTAAAGGGAAATAGCACATTGAAGTTTGAGCCACTTAATTCAAAGAGTCCAGTGAGTCATAACAACATGAATCATCATTTCTCTAGAATCTGAATACAGTACAATGACCATAAAAGGAACTCCACCATAAACACGTTGAGTAACACTTTTGTCCCATGACATGGTGTGAAACATGAGAGCATACATTGCTCAATATATTTTTTTATTGGCTGCACTGCCAGAAAGTCTATACTGACGCTCTATTGATTATGTACAGTTCATATTGCATTTGTGCTTTATTGAATTAAAAAAATATTTTTTTTCCTTTGGCTATGTTAGTAATATTTTTTCAGAAGTGCAAGAAGACTTATTTACCCGAAGTCTGGTCATAAAATATATTTGGCACAGGCCAATGAAAAATCTCAATCTGGTCTATGATCTATTAAATAAGTACAAAATCAGAAATTCTTCTGAAAAGCTCATTTTGATAATATAAACATTTTCAACACTATCATTATCATATATTAAACTCGTAATTTCTGTTATTTAACCAATGTATTATTAATTACGTAACACGCTGGTTCCAAATACTAGTTGGTGTTAGCACAAAACCTTCAGGCTTTTTTCTATATTCCTAAAAAAGGAATGAAAAGCCTACTACAAGATCTGAACTTTATTTATGCTTAATCGGATGCATTTAAACATCAATGATATTTCCCTTTAAGAATGATTTTCTAACCATGGGTTCATAAGAAGTTGGGCTTCTAACAAAATAACCCCAAAAAAACTTTTTTCTTCCTCTTTAAAGGTGGAGAAGACTTTGGATAACTGAACACCTTATTTCCCTTTCTGAAATGCTCTTATTATTTTGCACGTCATTAGACATTTTCTCTCCATTTTGGTTCGTTGTTTCAGAGGGAAAGGTGACAGTCCGGAAACTCGTGCCTTGGCAAAACAGATTGGGGCGGCCCTACTGACCTTGCAGGCCAAGACCAATCGAGCTGTGGCCAACATGAGGCCCGCCAAGCCTGCGGTCACTCTGGAGGGCAAAATGGAGCAAGCGCTGCGCTGGGTCGCAAACCCCGGAGTGGATGACAGAGGTGTAGGTGAGTGGGTTTGAAAATAAGGGAATGAGGGCTTCTGAAAATCTGACAGACACTTACTGAGGAAATAACGTGTAGGTGCCATTCAGAGAGGAAAGTCCATTCACCGATTTGGACGACATTGAGAAAGAAGAAACATGTTTGGTATTGCTGGTTTTGTGTGTCTGTTTCTTTTAATTGTTGCTTATTCTCTCCCACACTGCCTCTCGAGGACAGAGTGTGAGAGACTAGAGTGGAACACAGGTACTGTCTTTCACTTTTTACCTTCCACTGAAGATGCACCCACATTCTTGAAATATACTTCAGGGCAGTGACTTTCAAATGGTGGTATTGTAGTGCTACCAGTCGGGGTATGCCGGCTCCCCCTAAGGGTCAGCATAAGAATCACTGCTTGAATACAGTTCTGTTGTATTTAACTATTACAAAGTGTTGATGGATTTTTTTTTAACATGTTATTATTTAACTTTTATGTCCTATACAGTTCAATTGCATTATTGTTTCAGTACAAATTATTTTCATTTCCTCCCTTTATCACCTCCATAGATGTGTTTGTTTTTATCCGAGAGCAAGCTGACAGCCGGTATTTAAATGTGATATGGAGGACGACCTTTGACCATTTTCGTGTCCTCAGGTCAGGCGGCTATCAGAGGGATGGTTGGAGAAGGCAGGAGGCTGGCAGGAGGCCTCTTGGGGCCGTACCGCCAGGACCTGATGGGACGTTGTGACCGAGCAGAGGCTCTCATGACATCCTTGGCAGACATGGCTGGCAGGGGGGAAGCCGAGGCCCCGCAGACTCGAGTGACTGCTGCGCAGCTACATGATGGCCTTAAGGTAGTTCATATAAGGACCGCCTTCTTTATATATTGTGCAACCAACATTTCCCTGAATTCTTTTTTTTCTTTTTTTTCTGGCCTCTGGGTGGGTGTAAACTCAGGATGGGCAAAGTATGTGCCACATAATGCCCACAATGTCAAAATAAACAAATGAAATAATATGGTTACCATCTCATAACTGAATTGGCTGTCTTCAGAATTAACCAATCACATTCAAACTCTTGTTAAATGGGAGCCAGCACACACCTGCTACCATTTTAAGTGCCTTAAAAAATAAAGTTAAGGTGCTTTAGTACCCTTTTCCTGACATTTCGGGGGGTCTTTTAGTATTGAATTTAATATCCACTTTATATACAGAAATACACTGATTACAGTATGTTAACTGTGTAAAGTCTTTGTTTGTATATTTTAACTATTTAAAGCACTTTGTGAGTTCTGTCTGAGAAATACAATATGAATAAAAATCTATATTTTGGGCCATGCTCATCTGTCCATTTTTAAAATCGAAGGCACAAAACCGCCAAGTGTAAACAGGGAAAATCAAACGACAGAAGAGGGATGCTTATCAGCTGATAAAATGCAATAGTGGAGTGTGCCACCTAGTGGACTGATAATGCAACATATACTCACAACAGGACCTGAGGCAGAAAATGCAGGAGGTGATGACCCAGGAAGTATCCGATGTCTTCAGTGACACCACAACGCCAATCAAATTGCTGGCCGTGTCTGCGACCGCACCCCCGGATGCCCCCAACAGAGAGGAGGTTGGTCGTGGTGTGCGCAGATTCACAAGGAGAAGAATTGCGCTGAATAAGATGTTTGAGTCTCCGTGTTCTCGTTGTAGGTTTTTGAGGAGCGTGCTGGGAATTTTGAGGCCCACGCAGGTCGTCTGGGGGCAACAGCTGAGAAGGCGGCTGCTGTGGGAACAGCCAATAAGAGCACGGTGGAGGGGATTCACGCTGCTGTCAAACATGCCCGTGAACTCACACCACAGGTGCTTGTCGTTATTTATTTATTTATACTTTTTTTTTTTTTTTTAATTTCACCATGTTTGATTTTTGTTTCAAAATAAGTGTTTTTGTCTGGGTGAGGACCGCATTTAGTCATTTTTAGAGCCTGATGCTAAAAAATAGGAGTTTGAGAAATGTCTCCTGTTTTCTGAGCTAGACCAAGAGAGTAAAATAATTTTTGAGGTTATTATCCATGAAAGTGAATCATCTCAACACGTTTACTGTAATCAATAAGAACAGTAAAAAGAATAATCTCGACTGCATGATAAGTAGCAGGGAGTACTCGAAACGATCATGATAGATTAAGCATTTTGATGTGACATATTAGTAATTGCTTCCAATCAAAGAAAACTTTGTTTATTAGCTTCTCTGAGACATTTGGGGTCATTTGCCTCTGTTTGTCTAACGCCAAATCCACGCCTGGTCCAGGTAACTTCTGCTGCTCGGATCCTGTTGAAAAATCCTGGTAGCAAAGCAGCGTACGAGCACTTTGACACCATGAAGAACCAGTGGATCGACAATGTAGAGAAACTCACAGGTGAGATGCCTTTAAAAAGTCCACCCTCCCAAAAGTTTAACTTTTTAACTTTTTTTTCATTATTATTGTGTGCATACATGTAGATATTATGCAACGATTTATGCTAAATGAGAATTTATGGATGTATTTTATTTTTCAGTTCTTGTTTCAATAATGCTTTAATTTTTAGTTTGATGAAACTGATTATCAAACTGTTTCATTTTTATTTTTCATTTTGTGAAACGACTAAATCACTGTTATAGGTATTTAATTATTGTGATGGGTTGGAGATTCATGTATACGTAATAAAAGTTGACATCAATAGAGTTCAATTTTCTTATTTTGTGTTTGTACGTGAATCCGCGTCTGCGTGTCCAGGTCTGGTTGATGAGGCCATAGACACCAAGTCACTGCTCGACGCCTCCGAGGAAGCCATCAAGAAAGACATCGACAAGTGCCGAGTTGCCATGGCGAATGTTCAGCCCCAAATGCTTGTTGCCGGGGCGACGAGCATCGCGCGGCGAGCCAATCGGGTTCTGCTGGTGGCCAAGAGGGAAGTGGAGAACTCGGAAGATCCGCGCTTCAGGGACTTGGTGAAACACGCGTCAGATGCCCTGTCCCACACCATCTCCCCCATGGTCATGGACGCCAAGGCAGTGGCTGGCAACATACAAGATAAAGGTACACAGGGTCAATAAGAGCCGTAAACAATCTGCATGGTACAGGATGACCTCTGATCCTTCCATAGCAACGCAAAAGGCCTATTTGGACTCCTGTCTGAGGATCTTGGCTGCTGTGGGAAAGGTCAGAGAGGCCTTCCAACCTCAGGAGCTGGATTTCCCCCCTCCACCACCTGATCTAGATCAGCTACAAGTAAGTCCAACATGTATTCACTGTGATCATTAAGCCCCATATTGTCCATGGAGTGCTGTAATGCAATAAGTGAGCATTACGTTATTGTGTGGCATCGGGGTGCCCTCAAGCTTCTTTTTCACGATTCATCACTATACAGTATTTAGTACTACTTGAAGAACTAGACAGTGATTGCTTACTGCCATTGAGAAGAAAGGTAAAACATTTTTCCAGATAAGAAAAAAAATCTCAAATTTAATTATATACTAAGCACGTGAAATATTTCACAAATTCTATTATTTATTTTATTTTTATTTGGGGGGGGCGATGGTTACTGCTCACAGCTAACAAAAACCCATAATTCACCATTTCAAGAAATTAGTATATGACAGAAACAGTCACAAATGATTTTAGGATTTCATTCATTTCGATAGCAATTGGCTTTCTGGGAAGTATTTTCCTTTGTGTTTAATTAAAACTACTGTATATGCATAATGAACTTCAGTGATTCACTTTTTGATCAACTAAGAATAAGGATGATAATAATATTTTTTAAACTGAAGCACTGGATGCGGTCCGCTTATAATCTCTCTGTCGAATTTGGACCCATGATGTGTTTTCCATTCAGGTAAGTGACGAGCAGGCTCCACCCAAGCCTCCCCTGCCAGAAGGCGAGGTGCCGCCCCCTCGACCTCCTCCTCCCGAGGAAAAGGATGAAGAATTCCCCGAGCAGAAGGCTGGGGAAGTCGTGAGTGAGCCCATGATGGTGGCCGCCAAACAGCTGCACGACGAGGCTCGCAAGTGGTCCAGCAAGGTCAGTCCACAGATGCACAATGACCTCAATTTGTAAAACTGATTTTCCACTATTGTGGTCATGGAATACGTTCTCTCTGTTGACTGTGAATTCATATATTGTGAGTCATAGTGGTGCTGAAATATGGACATCAGGGACTTGATTCCAATTTCAGAAGGAACCTGGAAACTGTCATCTGGTTAAAAAAAAAAGTGGTGCGCACAGCTACAGATCATAGCTACAGTCTGCCTCACCTTCACTCCGCAGTCCCGCCTTCCCTCCCCGCTCCTCCATGATGCCTGTACTCCTCCTTCAATTCCTCTGTTCTCCCACCTACTGCTTCTCATAGTGTACTAAACACCTCCTGGCTCTCTCCCCCCTCCTTTCCCCTCCTTCCCCAATCAATCCTCCGCCAACCGTCGCCAATACACCCCTTCCCCGCCTTGCCCTGCCAGGAGGCAGTAGAGGTAGACGATGAAGATGAATTTACTGATGGTGAGGATGACTATGAGCCCGAGCTCCTGCTGATGCCCTCCAACCAGCCTGTCAATCAACCCATGCTGGCGGCTGCCCAGGCGCTTCACCAGGAGGCCCGCAAGTGGTCCAGCAAGGTCTGACATGACGTCCCAAGCGCATTTTTGGCGCTGGATGATTTGACTCCACCACTTCTCTCTACACACACGCATGCAAAAACAAAAAAAAGCATCACTCAAACAAATTGCATCAGCTGCTACCATGGCAACCTCACCGAGCTGTGGCTGCTCAGATGGTGCTAAATTGTACTAAAGGTTGACACTTGATGGAATGGCTTTTTTTTTTTAATTGATGCACCATCTAGCTTCAGGATTTCCCCCGCTTATGTTGGTGATTTAAAGGAGGAGTCTTGCTGTTGTCAATCACTCGTTGTCAAGGCAACTTGTGATGCCAATGATGACAGTTTCCCAAAGACGTCTGGGTCATGTAGTGTTGTTGCAACTTCCTACTACCTGGTTGGTTACTAATCTTAAAGTACTGTGAATTATGTTAGCATGCTGGTAAATTTCACAATGATATTATTCTGTGTGTGTGTACACTGCATGCAACTACTAAATGGATGCTTGTCATTAGCATTCGCTGCCGTTTTCATGATTTTAACCCTCCATTAAAATGACCAGAAATAAGCTTGGAAACCTCATGTGATATATGGACAAAAGTATTGGGACAAAAGGCCATTGTTCACAATGGGGACGTTCAAATTTTATTTTTGGAGGGGTTGCTGTCTCACAAACTCTGTTGTCGATCATCCCTAAGGTTTCGAATGCGATTCTTTGACAACTAAAATTATCAAACCGTGCCTTGCTGTCGTCATGCTGGAACTATTCCTACAAACTTGGAAGCAGCACTGAAGCCGTGCCAACATTTAGTAGATTTGTCCCAGTACAATTATCCATGAGAGTTTCTCCATCCCATTTCCTCAATTGTGAAAATTCCATCTTCTTTCTCCTCGTCTCCCTTATCGCATCCTCGTCTCAGGGCAACGACATCATCGCAGCCGCCAAGCGCATGGCACTGCTGATGGCTGAGATGTCCCGGCTGGTGCGCGGCGGCAGCGGCAATAAGCGAGCGTTGATCCAATGTGCCAAGGACATCGCAAAAGCGTCGGACGAGGTGACAAGACTCGCCAAGGAAGTGGCCAAGCAGTGCACGGACAGACGCATCAGGACAAACCTGCTGCAGGTTTGTCTTTTTTAATGAGAAATGGTATCGAGCACGACAGAATACTATACGAATCTTTGTATGCACTGTATGATGTGTTTTTGTAAACTGCCCAGACAACAAAATGTTATTTTTATTGTTTATTGTTTGCTTGAATTATTTGTTGAATCACTCACTTGTGAGAGAACATGACAAGCTTTGCCCTCAGCAGTTTCTTGTCGAGCATTGCTCCACTTGCCCTGTTGGAAAATCACCATTTTATGACAATTCATCGACTGAACTAATTTTACTCTTCTTCTCTTCTTTTCTTGTCGAAGGTGTGTGAGCGCATCCCCACCATCAGCACTCAGTTGAAGATCCTCTCCACTGTGAAAGCAACCATGTTGGGAAGAACAAACATTAGTGAAGAGGAGTCCGAGCAGGTACAATTATCAATTTGTCCTTTGGATATATGGGACTGACATATCAGAGTATTAACAGAATATGAACTGTGTGACAGATCTTCGTGGTGTTTTTATGTTGATTATACTGCCCCCTCGTGGTTATGGAACATAACCAAGTTCAACTTTTATAAACTTGTAATTTGAAATCAAAAACATTATTTCTATTTCACACTTAATAGGTGAACAGGCATTATGACTTTACAATTACTATACAGTTTTTCCTAACATGGCCCCACAACAAGTCACTGATGATGTCGTGGTCCACTAACCTGACTTGTGTGCAGGCAGCGTGGGATCGGTTACCACTCAGTGACTTTGTGATTGTGGGTGTGAATGGTTGTCTGTCTCTATGTACGTCTTGCGACTGACTGGCGACCAGTTAAGGGGTTGGTACGCCTTTCGCTCAAAATCATCTGGGAAAGGCTCCAGCAACCCCACGACCCACTTCAGATGTTGAAAATGGATGGATGGAATGTCCCCACAACAACATTAAAACAAAAAAATCCGTTTGTGCCTTCTCTATTGTTATGTCTTACTTCCCAATATCCCGTTGCTTTGTGCAGGCCACAGAGATGCTGGTCCATAATGCCCAGAACCTAATGCAGTCCGTGAAGGAGACGGTGAGGGAAGCTGAGGCGGCCTCCATCAAGATCCGCACGGATGCAGGGTTCACCCTCCGTTGGGTGCGTAAGACCCCCTGGTACCAGTGACCCCAGCACTGACTTTGTGAACATCAGCACACACTACAGAGGGTTAAAAAAAAAAAAAAAAAGTAGCAACATAGACTTAGATGGTTCTCCATCATCCATGTTCATTTAAAACTCTTCATGTCCCTTTTTAGAGGACACGAAGGAAGCATTTATATTAATATATATTTTTGCTATGTCGATTGCAGGTAGCTCTATATTTTTTGCATGAAGATGTTTTCTATTTTCTAAAAGGCAACTCGAGACATTGTGATAGGACTTTTCTGTTTAACAGAGGTTTGTTTCTTAATAATGAAGTCTTGTGTGTGTGTTTGTGTGCGTGGGTGTGTATAGATACACTCAGCTGTGAGAGATTCTCACCATCTTTAAAAACGCTCATGTTTACTTTGACAATTAACGCTGCTGCTTGAAGACCTGTGTGTCAATTTGAAGTTGTGACGTTATCGTCAACATTTCGCTTATACTTGAACTATGAAGTCTTCTGGATTGGAAGTGCGTGACGATAAAAGGTGTGATTACATAAATGAGGGACTGACGAAGTAATGAAGGATTTGCTTAGTTTTGGCTTGTGTGCGTGACAACTCATGATTATTTGTAGGGATGGGCACCATGATGAATTTTAATTGTGTGAAATTTACTGGTACAGTAAATAGCCGTTTTAATTGATGCATAATGGAGTACAGTAACTGTTGGCTCAGTGTCAACTAGTTGTCTGTCTATAGAAGATCAACATTAGTAGGTTGCACATGTGTATGCGAAGTGTACACAACTCCTCAGCAAATTCAATACAGCGCTGGTTCGAAAACAGGATTAAAGAACATTCAGATTATTTCAACAAATTTCAAATTAACATTTTCCACATAGCCGATCAAATTTCCATCCCTATCCAAATGTGAAGTTTTTATGGCTGTTTATTGATTTTATTTTTTTAATTTCGAAGCCAAATGACGCATTTACAGTACACCTTTTTAAAACTCGAAAAATTCAAAGAGCACACTACCATCATACTTTTTATTTTGTCTTATTTCACATGTAGAACATTTATTTTCCTGAGCAGTTGAACTGTTTGGGGATCATCATGTATCTGGAGTGGTGGCGTCACAAGATAACAAAATTACATGCAAACCAACACCACTCTTAAGACATTTTAAGCTCTTGTTTCGCTTTCACTTTATGGTTTATACCGTGTTTTGTTTTGTATGCTTGCTGGGCAAATGTAACTTTTAAATGGAGAACCGGTGCAAGTGTGCGCATAAGAACATAATAAACACGCCATTAAAGGGACATAATGTAGTGAGCATGTAGCAGCCGCTTGCTGAGAGCGACAGGGTGTATGTACATAACAGTATATATGTACGTGTGATGTGTCCCATGCACCCTGAATGTATCCGGACAGTTTATGGCCATGCAAACACATGCGCTGTTTGTGCCTTGGAAGAATAAAAAGACTGATTATGAATGACACTTTACCTGCAAGTTTGCCTTTTTCTGCGTTTGGTATGGCCACTCAAAACTGGACCTTAGCTCTTACTTGCTACGTTTGTGATTCCCTGTTATTAGAACAGGGGAGTTTATTTTTTTAAATTTATTTATCTATTTAAAAAAAAAGTCTACACACCCCTGTTCAAATGCCATGTTTTGTGATATAAAATGAGACCCAGAAAAACGTTTTTTAAACTTTTTCCAGTGTAACCCGTACCACTCAATTGATTAAAAATAAATAAACTTTTAGAAAGGGCAATGTCATTCCAATTCATGTTAAATGAGAGTTATCACATGCAAGCTACTATTTTAAGTGCCTCTGATTTACCCCAAAATAAAGTTCAGGTTTTCTAGTAGCCTTTTTTCTGACATTGTAGTCATATTAGCACAAACCAATGTCTCACAATCACACCGACAGACAATTTAGTGTTCATTGACTGAGAGTGCCCATTTACATAAATAATTCATAACACTTTTTGTTATTTAAACACATGTAAAACGGAATATCTTCAAACTTTACTTCAGCAGAGCCAAAAAAATGTTTCACTCTATCAGATGTTGAGTTGACTTCAATTGTTTTTGGTTTAAAATAAATAAATAAAAGATTTTAAACAGTTATAATCTTCCATCTGTCCATTTTTGCCACATACAAGTACTTAAATTGGTCATTTCACTCTATTTTATTCTGTAATTCTGTTGTGGATTTTTAGATACATTCTTAATATTGTTTCATGCACATTAACATAAAAGAAGCACATACAAATAAGTAGAGTACATTTTATTCTCGCAAAAGTTTTTAAAAGACCTCTTGTGCACTGAAGTTCAGACTAAGAGAGGAGAATTTTTTTTTCCACGTAGAGAAAAGGTTGTGCAAAGGCTAGGCTAAAACAGGAAGTTGCGTTCAAGAACACGTCAACGTTGTGCATATTTCTGAGTAAGTGTTCCCCACAGCCACTCACAGCCTGACATCATATTGAGTAGATCAAAACAGGGAGCACTTATATTACTGCACCATACTCTATCTATAAAACAGATTGGTATAAAGTCCTGAAGGAAGTACCTCACAAGGCCACATTACAGATTCAAAGTGTGCAAAGACATTGAATAGTATGTCACATTCAAAGTAGAAAAAAAAAAGATGCGCGTAAAGGCAACATGCAAGCAATATTTCATGACTGATTGTGTGGGCCCAGTGTCCATTTACAAAGCAACATATTCCCTTCGGCAAAACGACGTTTGGAGGAATTGGTCACATGGGTTACTTATATTATTATTGTTATTATTAAGGCTTCCCTTCAGAGGCCACACGTAAGCCGCTTGATATTTACAGAGCCTGTAATGCCATAACGTGGATTTAATAAATAACTGTTAGAATGCAAAATGACTTGTTAATATTGCTGAGGTTAGGATAGATTTGGAGCGCTAGGTCTGGAGCATGATTGCCGAGCGGTGATTGAATCAGGTCCTCACTTGGAACTTCCCAGCTCTGGTGAGGTATTTGACCCCTTTAAAAGGTTTGTACTTCTCCCCGTACATGTCCAGACGATTCACCTTCAGGCCTGTAGAGAGCAAGAGTTCATTGTTAGAACAACGTATTGTGACATTCACCTGTTGTTTGTATTACCTGATATGGCCAGCTGCTGAATCTTCATGTCGATGTTGAGCGAGGGGTTCTCCTCAGGTTTCGGAGCGCCCGACTGCACACTCAGGCTGCCTCGCAGATTCGGAAGCTTCTGGGGGTTCAGCTTCCCCACATCCCAAACCAAAACCTACACAAAACACACACGGATGCTGTCAATAACACTGCTAAAACCATTCATCCATCCATCCATTCGTCTATCCAACACTGCTTATCCTGAAGAGGGTCACGGGGTTTGCTGAAGCCTATCCCAGCTACTTCGGGCAAAAGGCAGACTACCCCCTAAAATAGTTGCCAGTTAGTTCCAGGGCACATATAGAGACAAACAACCATGCACGCCCACATTCACACCGTCATTGTGTGGGAACCAATCCAATGCTGCCCGCACACTGGTCAGGTGATTGTACCACACCATCGGCGACACAGCTAAAACCACGTGGTTGCAAATAAAACACATTTTACTATGCGCAGGATGAAAAGTATACCATCAATGATGAGCAACATTGTTTCGCTTATTTTTTTTTTCTGATTTCGGACGCATATCAGGTGCAGGACGCGCAAATTTTCACCGACAGACTGTCATTAATAGTTTGACATGTGAAATAGCTCCTCCTCAATGCAAGCGAAAGGGCCATGGTGGGGTTCTACATTCCAGTGGCCCAAGCTAACTGTAAAATTTCATGTTTACTTGCCTCTTGAAATGGGTATGTAACCACATTTCAAATTCTTCTTGTTAATATTACTTTAAAAGAATTGCAGCATCGCATTCTGTCTCCTACTAGATATTCTCAAATTTGTGCAGTACTAAAGTACGTTAACAAAGTTCCAATAATAAAGTTATGATCAGCTCTCACATCTACTGCTTTGTAATAACTAGTCTGAGAGTATTCATTACCTGGCCCAATTTTGAGTTATCTTTTTAGCTGGGTGAAAATGGTAAAATACAATGAGTGGAGTTGAGACAACAAGCTATAAGTAGAGAAATGTGAGCATCTCACAAGTAAAACTTTAAACTGCGTCAAATAAAAATGTGGCGATGTCCGTCAAACAACTGCATCCATTGTACCTTTCTGAGTGGAATACAATTGACTCCTCAGTCCCTGATTCACCGGCAAGACCCAACATGATGGCATCTTATGAGCTGAGTAGGCATTCACCTTGGTGGCGAGGTCATACGTGTAGTTCCCCTGCGTGGCGGTGAGGTTGGCACTGAGCACGGCTTTGGGCATGTGGATGGTGACCAGCAAGCCCTCCACCGTCTTCCCCATTGTCTGCTTTGGCCCGATTGTGATGTCCAGACGGCCGCAAGAGCCCGTTTCCATAAAGCTGATGTTCTGCTTCACGTATACCGGAATGGCCACCAGACTGAGGAAGGCAACGGGGTTGATTTTGCTCATCAAAAAAAAAAACTATTGTGAGTTGAAGATATATGACACATCTTTTTGCTGGAAATGACACAAGATAGGAACAAAAGACTAAAAGACACAGAACCCTTCCCACTCACATTCACACCTCCATACAATTTAAAGTCGATGCAGAAGAGTGACCTCGACCGTACTGTACTTACTTTTGGGAGCTGACGTGATAAGTCATGAGGGTGAAGTTGCCGTCGGGCGGGATGAAAGAGAGGACGCGCTCCGACTCCCAGCGCTTGAACCGCACACACGGGTGAAAGCTGACATCGTCCAGGAGACGGGGATTCTTCAATGCACAAAACAATGACACGGGACCAATTGCACACAAACAGACCTCAAAGCCATTAAAAGTGCAGTTGCACCTCCACTTGTGACAAAACACCACAGACAGGCTAACAAAACTAGCACGGACACTGCTATACCTTTAACAATGGGGGGTGGGGGGAAGCAACCTCTACATGAACACAATGAAACACAAACAGTAGCAACACAGGCAGGCAGACAAATAATAATACTCACAGCAATACATTCTTTATCCTCTGTAAAAAAATACTTCATCTTACTGCAGCTTAGTTGCGACAATGTTGCGCGTTTCTTAATCAAATTTGCATTGAGTATCACTCTGTATTATAATTCCCTACTGACCATTGAATTAATGCATGAAAATTGTGACACTTAAACAGTTGTTCTTCAAACGCCATTTCCATTTGTAAGTCAAGGCACCACTGTACAGTGTATCCTCAAAGCTGAGCACTCACCATGAAGGACAGAGTGAGGTCAGGCATCCCCGTGAGTCTGACGCAGGCTTCAATCACACCTTGAATCTCTGCAAACACTGTGGAACCTGAGCAACAAGCACAGTTCCCAAAGATTGGATACCCTTGATATGCTACTGATGTCCAGACGGCCGCAAGAGCCCGTTTCCATAAAGCTGATGTTCTGCTTCACGTATACCGGAATGGCCACCAGACTGAGGAAGGCAACGGGGTTGATTTTGCTCATCAAAAAAAAAACTATTGTGAGTTGAAGATATATGACACATCTTTTTGCTGGAAATGACACAAGATAGGAACAAAAGACTAAAAGACACAGAACCCTTCCCACTCACATTCACACCTCCATACAATTTAAAGTCGATGCAGAAGAGTGACCTCGACCGTACTGTACTTACTTTTGGGAGCTGACGTGATAAGTCATGAGGGTGAAGTTGCCGTCGGGCGGGATGAAAGAGAGGACGCGCTCCGACTCCCAGCGCTTGAACCGCACACACGGGTGAAAGCTGACATCGTCCAGGAGACGGGGATTCTTCAATGCACAAAACAATGACACGGGACCAATTGCACACAAACAGACCTCAAAGCCATTAAAAGTGCAGTTGCACCTCCACTTGTGACAAAACACCACAGACAGGCTAACAAAACTAGCACGGACACTGCTATACCTTTAACAATGGGGGGTGGGGGGAAGCAACCTCTACATGAACACAATGAAACACAAACAGTAGCAACACAGGCAGGCAGACAAATAATAATACTCACAGCAATACATTCTTTATCCTCTGTAAAAAAATACTTCATCTTACTGCAGCTTAGTTGCGACAATGTTGCGCGTTTCTTAATCAAATTTGCATTGAGTATCACTCTGTATTATAATTCCCTACTGACCATTGAATTAATGCATGAAAATTGTGACACTTAAACAGTTGTTCTTCAAACGCCATTTCCATTTGTAAGTCAAGGCACCACTGTACAGTGTATCCTCAAAGCTGAGCACTCACCATGAAGGACAGAGTGAGGTCAGGCATCCCCGTGAGTCTGACGCAGGCTTCAATCACACCTTGAATCTCTGCAAACACTGTGGAACCTGAGCAACAAGCACAGTTCCCAAAGATTGGATACCCTTGATATGCTACATTATGTATGGTGGCGTAGAT